CTGGGCTGCATGCAGCCCGCGGGCTGGACACCCCCGCCAGGGCCTGCGCCCATCCCCACACAGATCCGCCTCGCAGGAGGGCCTGCCCCGCTGGGGTGCGGAGGAGCCGACCCACCGAATCTCCAACACACACGCTTCCGTGCCCCGGGGCTACAGAACATTCTCATTTTACACTGATGGGGTCACTTCAAAAAGCAACCCTGTGTTTGACCACACGGCAAACCTTAATGAAGTTTTAAAAGCGGATGTTTATATAGGCCATGGTTTCAGGTCATAATCCAATAAAATGAGGCGTTAACAATTTAAAAATGCCAAACAAACCAAACCCTTAATTCCTGGAAAGCTATGCAGTCCTTCCTGGATCAAGGAGAAAATAAAAGTAAGTAACAATCTAGAAATCAGTGAAAAGGGGAACAGTTCGTGCCAAAATTTGTAGGGTGCAGTTAGAGCTATAATCGGGGGAGATACCTAACTTCAAATGTCTTTGTTAAGTAAGACAGACTAAAAATAATGGGACCCAGAAATGGTGGAACCCCATGCTTTTTCACCCCCTCACTTAGGGACATTTTTTCATTGCTTCTAGAGAAAGAGGAAGAGGCAGGAGGAGGGGGAGAGAGAAACACTGATGTGAGAAACATCGACCGGTCATCTCCCACGTGTGACCCAACCAGGGGTCAGACTGGCAGCCCTCCAGGGCACAGGTCAGCACTCCAACGGACGCACACCAGCCAGAGCCCTGGTGCGATGTTCAATTAAGAGATTAGGAAAAGAAAAAAAAAATTGAACAGAAAGTAGGAGACGGGTGCAAATTAAATAATGAAAAATGTTTTTAAGGCTGACAAAATTTTTTTAAAAGATTTTATTTATTTTTAGAGAGGGAAGGGAGGGAGATAGGGAAAGAGAGAGAAACATCAATGTATGGTTGCTGGGGGCCGTGGCCTGCAACCCAGGCATGTACCCTGACTGGGAATCGAACCTGCGACACTTGGGTTCACAGCCCGCGCTCAATCCACTGACCTACACCAGCCAGGGCAACAAAATTTTTTTTAAAGCAATGCAAAGGATAGATAAACCCCAATGTTATTTCCAAATGTCTATAAAATCGAATCACTCCTTGAGAAACCTAATGAAAGAGAGAGCATGGCCTGGCTGGCGTAGCTCAGTGGATTGAGCTCGGGCTTCGAACCAAAGCATCGCAGGTTAGATTCCCAGTTAAGGCACATGCCTGGGTTGCAGGCCACAGCCCCCAGCAACCGTACATTGATGTTTCTCTCTCTCTCTCTCCCTCCCTTCCCTCTCTAAAAAAAGTGGATAACTAAAATCTTAAAAAAAAGTGAGAGCCATGCTTTGTTATTTAATGGATGGTATAGTACAACTATCCCTCAGGAAGGCAATACTGGGCCCGCACACTATTTATAAACCACACTCTAGGTGCTTCGAAGAGTTTCTATCAGCCCAGACAAAGCCTGAAACCTCCGCTCTAACACAGAGACTTAGGTATCTGTTACCCACTCCTTTTATTTTCCATAGCATAAGATCCTAAACTGTCACTGAAGGCCCTCTGAGGTTCTTTCCCATCAGCTGACATCCTTTCCAAGTACATAAATCCATTTTGCTACTTGTCAAGTTCTTACCCCTCGCGCTGCAGATCTTTCCTGCCCTTCTGCTCGCAGTCCCTCGTTTGCACCCTCCCGGCTCCCTGAGTCAGAGGCGTGTCTCCAGACACAGACCCTCGGCTTGTAACGGACTGAGCTGCAAACCTCCCCGCCCCCACTGCCTTGGAAGCGGTGCCGCTTCCTCCCTCTCCACCGAGTCCTGGCTGTGCATTCAGGCCAAATGACTTCTCTATGGTACTTGCTGGTCGGGAAGGACTAGCCATCTTTACTATTTTGAGATGGTCAGTATATTCTCATTCCTGAAAATCATCAGAGAACAATTATAATACATGTTGTGTGTGTGAATTAGCCGAAAACAAACCTAGACGAAAGTTGAAGACTGTTTATTCTCTCCTCCCTCCTCTGTGCAGTAATGCACTCAGACCGACACAGCAGTCTAGGATTTTAGAAGCTCGCTGTTAGACCCTACGGAAAATGTGTTCTAGCATTTCTCACGTCTTACAGATATTGTAGCATAGTTATACAGTTATCAGAGTGGTCCCTACTGGCATTATTCAATTCATAAATTCTCAACCAAATTATTATTATTTTTTTTAACTTAGTTTGATGGTTGAAAAAAGAACCGAAAACCAAAATTCAAACAGAGGAATAACTAGGAGTCACATTTCATCCAGGATAGAAGGCTGGCCAAAAAAGACAGCCCAAAGTGTTTATCGTATCTAAAAAGAAATAAACCCAATTAAAAAACGTTTTTAATAGGTTTTTTTTTTACAATTTCAATACAAACTAACACTTCAAATAAACATTACAAAGTGTTTCGTAATTGCCAAGTCAGTCAATAAATAATTTTTGTGGTTCCCCTTTCTGATGAAATCACTTCATTATTCAGAGAATGTTTTAATGCATTTCTTTGCTCATACACGTCGAGGGAATTGTATTAAGTGTCTTGAATTTCAACAACTTGAAAACTTTTACAGGAATTGCTTAGGCAGATGTTTTAATCTCAATCATGTACTGGAACAAATTTTAAAAGATTTTATTTTTTAGCAAGAGGGGAAGGAAGGGACAAAGAAAGGGAGAGAAACACCCATGTGTGGTTGCCTCTGGCACGCCCCCTATTGGGGACCTGGCCCCACAACTGAGGCATGTAACCTAGACTGGGAATCAAACCGGTGACCCTTTGGTTTGCAGGTGCTGGCTGGCACTCATTCCACTGAGCCACACCAGCCAGGGCCGTTTAGTGGAACAAGTTTTAAAAATACGCAAGAAGTTGCAGATTAAGTTGTAAAAGGGAGAATAGGAACTTGAGTGATAGAGATGGTGTTGAATTGGAAAGTACCGAGTTTGCCGCACTCTGCCGTGAATCGTAATGTCTTACGGAAAAGTAATGAAATGAACGACAAGGTCACGAGCAACAGCCCTGTGCGGGGGGAGGCATCCAACAAAAAATACAAAAACCACAGAATGAAATCCCCAAGATGGCGGAGGCTCCCTGTCGAGGTTATTCAATGGACCGCTGCTAACCTAGGAAACCCACCATCTCCTGAGCGCTGATTTAAAAAATAAGGAATTCCCGGAATAGGAATTCCAATTGTCTTTTTTTTTTTTCTTAGAGAACGTTGGTGTGAGAACCCTATACGCACAACTCCACGCGCTCACTAACCTTGAACGCCCCCAATCACGTAACATTCGGTCAATTCTGCATGTTAAAAACTACTTGTCATTTTTCCTGGGACCTGTCTCCCGAGGTCAGCACGGTTCTGGGTGTCGCTACCCACCGTCGGGTTCTGAAGCGCCACTCGTGTGGCGGGCATGCGTCTGAACCGAAACCCTGCTCTCTGCACCACTGCTGGCGGTTGGCTTTCTGGAGCAAAGAAGGAAGCCGAGAACTGGGCGGATTCCCAGCACCGCGGGCAGCTGTCATGGGAGTCCCTTTACCCTGCGTTCCCGACTGCTCGTCACAGGTTTCTGCTCTCAAACCCGCCTCCTCTGCGGTGGGGGAGAAGAGGTTACGCAGAAAAGCACATCTGGATGAAGAAATCTTCGCTTCCGTGGTCCAAGTGCCCCCTCAGCATGCTGGCCAATCACTGAGCTGCCCCGAGCCCATTGTCCACTTGCTTCCTTTCTCCCTCTAACGCTTTCACGGGTCGTGTTGTGTGTTTGATTTGGTCGGAGAGGAAAAAAACGGTCTAGACAAAGCACTTACTACAGACGGTATGCTAATCACCTGGGGCCAGGAACGACCGCTCTGCTCAAGGGTTCTCTGCTTATCTCATGGGCCATCCATGCCTTTGTCTTTGATCGGTTTTCAGGTGAACTGAGACAATGGGGCGGTTTTGTTTCGTCTCGAGTGCCAGATTTAAATAATCGGCAGTGTGTCTTGCGAGTGGCAGTGAGAGATGGTTCTGAAAACGCAGAGGTCTGAGCGACAGAGAGTGGGACCCCTGGCAAGATGGTCACTGCCGCCCCGATGTCAGCATCACGTACGGGAGTTCCCTGGTGGCGGCAGGGGTGGCAGAGTCACGGGACGCGGTGAGATCTTGCCAGTCAACTACTTATTAGCAAAACTGTATCTGCTCCAAATGATACTCTAGACCTTATAGCATTATTTTTAGAATGTAGAACAGTATAGTGATGTCTTTTTTAAATGATTTAACAGGCGAGAGTGGTGTTGGAGACACACAGAAAAACGTAAGTAAAAGATAAACCTGACGATACATATGGAGAAGCAAACCGAGAAACACTTGTTCTGGGGTTTTGGAGGTAAAGGGACATGTGGTCCTTCCCCTCCTGAATCCTGGAGCCGCAGCCGGGCAGACCTAAAGCAAATATTCATCGTGTTGCAACAGTGAGGACCAACCTCAGCGCCGGGGTGAGTCTTCCCGTTTGTGCTTCCACCAGGTATGCGGAGTGAGGGAAGAAAAGGGTTCACAACTTCCCTGGAAAAGGGGACGGACAGAGTGTAAGACCTGGCTGGAGCGGCGCCCCAGGGCAGTACCGAGGACAGTACCAGCTTACCGGGCACGCACGTCTGAGACAGGATGCATAAGTCTCGAGCGGCTTTGAGCTCAGGGTCAAGCTAATGGCAAAGGCTCCAGAACCCAGAGAGTGTGGACACCGTCTCCCGCATGGTCAAGGTCAACACCTGCGCACGTAAGTCAACCCCAGGGCTCACACGGGGAACGGACGGCCCAGTGGCTTGGCTGACCTAGCTGCAGCTGCTCTTTTTTAAACCCGGTGCCAGCCGGCCAGGGCCGGCTCTTACTGGTCCCCACCACCTCTCCGTGCGATCCCTTCCTTTCCGCACCAGCCTCCAGGTGGCGCACCGAAAAACCATCCCGACCTGCGAACGCAGACAAAATGAAGAAACACCGCGTACACGCATACATTGAACAGCCATTTAAAATTCGACGGGAGAGGACTTATTAGGCACGCTCCGCTAACTCCCTTTTCTAAAACCCGCACGCCGACTCCCATGGGCAGTGTCCCGCACCCCCGAGAGGGAACCTGAACTGCGCGAGTCCGGAAGGAGACGTTTCTCGGTGGCTGCAGCGTCACCTTGCTGCACGCGAGGCAGGACTCGCGCACACGGCACGAGTGACAGGTAGGGGTGTCTTCTCAGCGTGCCCTAGGCAGGGGTGGCTTTTGACCGGGGGGGGGGGGGGGGCGAGGCCCCGGGGCCTGTCTCTGCATGGCGATGCCAGAGGGAAGAAGGCGCACGTTCCACGAGGGCGCTGTCCGGGGCTCCCACTCAGGTTTCCGCCAGCGGGTCGAACACCTCCAGCACTGTCCTCTTGTCCTCGTCGCTGACGGCGGCCCAGGGACCCAAGTCTTTTTGCCTGGGCTCCGGCGGCGGCCCCGCCTCGGCAGCTGAGCCGCTGAGTTGCGGTGGGGCTGTGTGCACCCTTCCGAGGTTCCTGGTCCCCGCGTCCAGGGGGTCAGAGCTCTTGGAGAGCCAGGTGTTGTTCAGCAGGCTGGGGTGGTGGAGAAGGCTCCAGAAGGGGTCCTGACAGCCGCCCAGAAGGGGGGCCGCCTCTGGCTTCGGCCCCTTGGGGCCGTGGGTCTCGGGGCTTGCAGCTGACGAAGGGCCCGGGAAGGCCGGCTGTGGAAAGGGCGAGCCCCGGTCAGGCTGGTGCGCAGGGGGGCCGCCGAGCCCCTGGAGCAGCTGGCTGTGTGTCTGCAGAACCTGCAGGTGGAAGGCCGCGGGGGCGGACTTCTTCCTCCTCGGGGGCGCCTGGGGCGCAAGGGGCGGGGCTTCCAGGAGGGAGGCCACGGTGGCGGCGGGGGCCTCATCCTCGGCTGGCTTTTCCACGCCGGGCCCCCTCTCGGCACCTTTCCCAGGATGCAGCGTTCTCGGTTTGGGGACAGGAGGGGCTGCCACGAGAGGAGGGGCTTCGGGGCTCGTCTCGGGGGGCCCAATCGTAAAGTGGACCGGCTGTTGCCCCTGTGGTTCTTCCGGTGACGTGGGCTGAGAAAAGGCACGACAGAGCAAGTCAGTCGCCGGTGGCGGGGGAGGTGGGAGGGAGCTCAGCACTCGGAGGGTGTCAGCCAGGAGCAGGGAGGAGCGAAGCGGAACATTCTAGCAAATCTGAGATTTGAGAATGTCGGGGATGCAGAAGAAGTGCGGCCAGGAACGAGAGAGCACGGCAGAGGCGCGCACACACACTGATCCAGGCGTACCCGCAGGTCCGAAGCAATGGGAGCGGAGACTTGAAAACCAGGGCCGCAGTGAATAATAACCTGAGACAGGTTTTCCTTTGTCACCTTGGGCAACGGGGCAATCCGCTCTCCTTATTGAGAGCTAACCACTCCGCGTCTCTCCATTTGAGGCCTCGGCTTTAATAATTCACAGGGAAGTCAAGCACTGTATTTTGCCGTGTACAATACGCACTTGTTTTTGGCCCAAACTTTCAGGAAAAAAAAACTTTCGTTTTAATTTTGTAATTCAGCTATTTATTTATTTGTACTTAGATACTTGTTTTTTTATTATAAAGGATTTTTAGCATTTATTTTGAACATAGGGTACAAGAAATTTTATGTAACAAATAACTACATAACATGAGAACAGATACAAGGTGTTTCAAGTACTACTTTTGTGTAAGAAGCATCTTTATTTTTTTCCCGTCAAAAATCTGGGCAGCCCTCGCTGGTATGGCTCAGTGGACTGAGTGCCAGCCTGCAAACCCAAGGGTCACTGGTTTGATTCCCAGTCAGGGCACACGCCTGGGTTGTGGGCCAGGTCCCCCCAGTGGGGGATGCACGAGAGGCAATCACATATTGATGTTTCTCTCTTTCTCTTCCTCCCTACCATCTCCTCTCTTATAAATATAAATAAAAAATTTTTAAAAGACAAAATGAAATTGTTTAAAAAAATTTTGGGCAAAAACGTGTGTACTATACACGGCAAAATATGGTATGTTCCAGGATTAGGCTAATTAAAGGATTAAGGGATACCCTTGCTCCTTGAATCTTGGTATGTAGATACAGAAGAATGGAAAGTTTCACAGAGACTCTTTCCGTCCTCGGTTCTAATCCAGAACCGCCCCAGAGACAAAAAACGGCACAGTGCGGAGGAAGCTTTGGTACCAAAGCAGCTACTACGGAACAGCTTCGGCCTCTCAGTGTTTCCTTTGGTTCTTTAGGAAACAACAGCGAACACAGTCCCTTCTCCAGCAGTCTCTGCCTGCCGCTCTTGTGTAGCCGGCTGGGAAAACGAATCGGTTTCGCCCCTGGCTTTTAAGAGAGAAGGCAAAACAAGGACGGAGGAAAGGGAGGAAAAACGGCAGATGCAAGGAGCCGAGGTGGACAGAGGAGAGAGCGAGCTCGGTGTGAATGCCGCGGCGCCGGGGCCGCGGCGCCCGCGCCCACCGGTGGGAAAGCAGCACTCATCTGTCGCGACCAGCCAGGGTTACCGAGCGTCCGGCACCAGGACACTGAGGTCAAACGGGAGATCCAGATGCCTCTAGAGGTGCCAGTCTCTGGGCCGCTACGGTCCTGACAAACTCATGTCTCTGCAGCAGCAAGCAAGGCTGAGCAGCTTGAGAGCGAGAGCAGAACACAATCTGCAAGAAAAGTCGTGGCGAGAAAAGCTGTGGACCCCCCCGCCTCCGAGGCCGGCACCGCTCCTCTAGGGGCCGGTCAGTGTTCTTCCGCTGCAGACACCACCTGTCCGGGTGTGCCCGGGTGAGACCGCACGCACAGGACGGAACACACACACACACACACACACACACACACACACAGGACTGGAGTGCTTAGAATCAGGCGGCCACAGTTCCATGTGGGGGCTCAACCCGGATGCACAGAAAGGGTGACACCTCCGAGCTGTTCCTGCCACGGTGACACATTCCTGATTTTTCTGCTCAGCTGCAGCCAGGGACACGGAGGAGGAGCAACTGCCAAGCACGCCCCTCAAGGATGGGGCCGTAGCAGGGGCCCGTGACTGTTTACGGAGAGACAGACTCCACGGAGACGGGACTCTTACCCAACCAGACTCAGGAGTAAGAGGCTGACCTGACCAGTTCTTACCTTCCCGGTCCTCCTCAAGGTTGGCTTCTTGATGGCAGGGACTCTGGGCGCTGGCCGACGGGGCAGGGGCGGGGCCGCCCCTGCAGTGGGCTCTGGTTTGGAAGACCCCTGGTCCCTCAGGGCCGTGGCGTCTAGGGCTTCTCCTGGCGCGCCTGGAACACACAAGCACGTGGCGGAAGTGTGCAGTTGGCTGTGTGGTGTGATCTCTGTGCAGGCCATGGCCTGAAGGTGCTTTACTAATGCTGTGTGTTTCCTTGTTTCTTAAAGTTTTTTTTAAAGATTTTATCCATTTATTTTCAGAGAGGGAAGGGGGGGGGGAGAGAGAGAGAGAGAGAGAGAGAGAGAGAGAGAGAGAGAGAGAGAAACATCAATGTGTGGTTGCTGGGGGCCGTGGCCTGCAACCCAGGCATGTGCCCTGACTGGGAATCGAACCTGCAGTACTTTGGTTTGTAGTCTGTGCTCAGTCCACTGAGCTACGTCAGCCAGGTGTTTCCTTATTTCTTAAAAAGATGATGTTGGAGGGTTGTCAGGACAACCAGCTAGGTTCTGCCCCCGGCTTCTCTTGCCCCCCTCCCAAGAGGGATGGTGAGCTGAGTCTGTGGGTGGTCTTGGTGGGGGATCAGTGACACCTTGGCATCACACACAAAAACTTATGTGTATGTGCATTTCTCACGGGAGATGATCTATAACTCCTCAAAATCTCTGCAGGGCCCACGACCAAGGGAAGGTTAAGTTCAGGCGCCAGGTTGATTTCAAACCTCAAACCTCTCCTAACCTCTACATCCATAGAATTTTCTTTAAAAAAAAATAGCAATATGACTCACATACCATAAGATATACCCTTTTCAAGGTTACAGCGAGTGGTTTTTAGTGTGCTCACAAAGTCCTGCGGCCGTCACCACGTCCGACCCCAGAACATCTGGGGCGCCCACAGGAGACCATACCGGGAGGCCCACGGCCCGCCCTCCCCATGCCCCCCTCCCTCCAGCCCTGCAAACGCCGTAACTCTCTGTCTCTGCAGATCTGCCTATTCTGTGTACTTCATACACATGGGACGTGTGCACGTGTGTGTGTGTACACACAACACACTGTTTTCAAGATTCACCCACAGCACAGCAGGTATTAGTATTCCATTCTTTTTTATGGCTGAATAATTTCCCACTGGATAGTCACACTCTATTTTAGCCATTTCACAGTTGATGGACACTTGAGTGGTTATATACAAACTGTAGTTATATTTTTAAAATAAAAAATAAGCATTTATTTTAAAATAAACTTAAATAGGCCCTGGCTGGTGTGGCTCAGTGGATTGAGCGCTGGACTGTGAACCGAAAGGTCACTGGTTAGACTCCCAGTCAGGGCACATGTCTGGGTTACAGTCCAGCTCCCCAGTAAGGGGCACGTGAGAGGCAACCACACATCGATGTTTCTCTCCCGGTCTCCCTCCCTTACCTTCTTTCTAAAAATAAATACATACAAGCTTTAAAAAAGTAAAATAAAATAAATTTAAATAAGAAACCACTTGTGATGACGTTGTCCTGCTGGTGTTCTGCACCCTCGCCACCAATGCCCAACCTCCCACGTTACGTGGAGACCCCAAATCGGGGAGACGCCCCGATTAACCACAGACCCAGGGACGGGGATCGCACGTGGCTTTCCAGAGGGCACGACCTCTCCTTTCCAGAACCGCACGTTAGTGACGGCGGCTCTGCATGCACGACGGAGATTCCAGGGTAAAACAGGGTCCATGGGGTTTGAGCGAAGTCACAGCAGGGACACGGGCAGGCAGCGTGCCCGCCAGCCGAGCGCCTGCAAGTGCTGGCGGTCTCCAAAGTGGATTTCGTGTCTCCGACGTGGATGTGTTCCCAACCACCTCTTCCAACTGCAGAATGAGTCAGTGCCCGGGGCATTAACCTCTTCCAAAATTCACTTTGCTTATTTCAATCTCTGCCTTAAGCGCTGCTTAATAATCCTGGGACGCCTTTTACATACGTACTGAATTTTAAACGCATAACTTTAAATGGACAATAAATCTGAGTAATGGACTTCTACAAAATGTCGCTAACGGGCGCTTTCATTGAATTCTGCCTTTAGGGGAAAAAAAAGTTACTTTCTCTCCCCAGCGCTTTCAGGAGGAAGATGGCAAGGAAAGGGGAGTAGGTGTTTCTCCCTGGGAGGACAGCCCGGGGACACCTACCTCCTCTGGCTTCCAGGAGACACCGGATTGCTGCTTCCGCCTCCTGAGCGTTGGTAGTTTTGATCTGCTTGACGTTGTAGGGTTTGCTTATCCCAGTCCTCGCTTTGGGCTTGAGGACAGAACGAGGGAGAGGAGCGCGTTAACACAGGCAGGAAGACAGCCGCGCCCGGCCGGCCGGTTCACCCACCCCTGATGTGTACCCAGGGGTTCCATCGAACGGTGATGAAAACCCAGTCCTGTCTGAGCCTGTCCTCCCCCGGGCACTCACACTCCAAGAGGAGCAGGGGCAACAGTGTTCAGGGCAGGGGCCCTCATCTCCCAAGGTGGGTGGGTTTCAGGCTTTTGCAAAATATGGACCAGCCATCCGCTCACTTTGTTTCAAGAACCAGGCAAGAGCCACAAAGCGCATCAAACTCGGCCCAGCTGGGTTATAGAAACACCTTCCAGATAGGTTTACTGGAAAGTGCCTTTTCCGCCTCTTCACCCAAACCTCTGGGTCCCCTTTGATGACCTGCCTTCTTTCCTGTAAACCCCAGATGAGCCGTCAGCCGCCTGCTCCTGCTGCGGCCGAGCGAGCACCTGACCCGGCTCTTGCGCCCTCCTGGGCTGCGCGAGCTCCCACCCCGCACCCGGCTTCTCTGCCCTCACCGCGCGACCCCTTTGACCTTCACTATAGCCTTGCAGCTCAGTGCCACCCTCCAGAACTCTCCGCCGCTAAAACCCGACCAATTTAATGATTACTGCTGGGTACGGCGTTATTCAGGCCCACGGGACCTTTTTTTAAAGTCTTTTCTCTCAGTTACCCTGACTGCAGGATGATCATAATTTTGTCCAGACAAAGGATCTAAACTTTTCCTGTTTTCCCTTCTACCAAGCACTGCTCTACACGCCAAGGTCAAAGTCAGGCATCGGAAGAGGGAGAAGCAGGTGAGCCTGGAGACCGACAAGCCTGCCTCGCAGGGACACTTGGATTTTTCACCAACGTGATTGCTCCCCAGTGCCCTGCACGACCATTTCAAAGCCCGTAAAAGTTCAGGGGTTCAGGGGCGCACTGGTGGCAGGGGGAAGGTTAAAGAGACAGCCATCAGTACATTCATGGGGAAAGGGCCGATCCCAAGTGGTTGCAGGGGCTGCGGCGGGGGGGCCGCGGCGGGGGCGGGGCCCCGGGGCCAAGCCCGTGGGGCTGAGACGTCCGGGCTTCGCTTGGAGCCCAGCACGGAACTCACCGCCTGCTGAGGCGCTCCCGGCAGGAGCTTCGCTGTCGGCAGAATCGAGTACTGCCCGTGGGTGCCGGAGGAGATGGACACGTCCGAGGCCGACTTTTTCACCATGAAGCCCGCTGTAAAAACCAACAAGGACAGGCTCCGTCTCAGGGATGTCGCTGACGCTTCCCGGCAGCAGGTTCCCAGCCAGCGGACAGCAAGGCGGGCTGGGCGGGCTGGGAGGCCAGAGAGGCCGGCAGGGTCTGGGCATGCGCGGGCCTGGGGCCTCCACCGGGGCCTCAGAGTGCTGGCGATTCTCTAACAGCTGCTTCCTGTCAGGGGAGAGGCTGCGGAAAAGCATTTTCTTTCTTTTTTAAAAAATTGAATCTTGCCTTGGCTGGTGTAGCTCAGTGGATTGAGCATGGGCTGTGAACCAAAGCATTGCAGGTTCGATTCCCAGACAGGGCACATGCCTGGGTTGCAGGCCACGGCCCCCAGCAACCACACATTGATGTTTCTCTCTCTCTCTTTCTCCCTCCCTTCTCTCTCTAAAAGTGAATAAATAAAATCTTTAAAAAAAAATTGAATCTTGCCCTGGCTGGCATAGCTCAGTGGATTGAGCGCGGGCTGTGAACCAAGGCATCGCAGGTTCAATTCCCAGCCAGGGCACATGCCTGGGTTGCAGGCCACGGCCCCCAGCAACTGCACATTGATGTTTCTCTCTCTCTTTCTCCCCCTCTTCCCTCTCTCTAAAAAAAAAAAAATAAATAAAAATGAAATCTAGAAAAAAACTATTATTAAAAAAAATTGAATCTTTATTGTACTTTTCCCCCCCTTGCCATTTAGTCCCCTTGGAAATGCATTATTTCCATGTGAATGTTAGCCTACTACCCTGGGGGTTCACACCAGATACAAAGGTCAATCCGTTTTGAGTTGTTTAAAATGTACTACTGTTACTAAGGCCAAATTTTTCAACTGTTCTGAGGACAAGGTCTAAAAAACCCCGAAGCAGGGGAATCGTCTGTTCAATTATACTCACAGCTACTAGGAACCAATCACGGTCTACAACATTAAACGACACAGACACTGGGTGAAAACACGTGACCGAAGGAAAAGGACACTGATTTTGTAAACATCGTGAAAATAAAAAATTGCCTCTAAATGTGTATCTATGTCATTGTCAAAAGGCTGGAAATCTTGTTTAACAGCTATGATCTCTAGGTAGTCAGGCGAAATTAAAAATTTAATTATTCAGCCCTGGCTGGTGTAGCTCAGTGGATTGAGCTCAGGCTGCGAACCAAAGTGTCACAGGTTCGATTCCCAGTCAGGGCACATGCCTGGGTTGCAGGCCATGGCCCCCAGCAACCGCACATTGATGTTTCTCTCTCTCTCTCTTTCTCCCTCCCTTCCCTCTCTAAAAACAAATAAATAAAATCTTTTAAAAAATTTTAATTATTCATATTTATATTTGTAAAGTTTCCACAAAAATCATTAACATTTAAAATTTTTATACGGATTTCATTTTCTGCGTGTCAACTCAGGAAAGTGAAAAACGTGCGTAAAAACGCCGTGTGCGTCTGGCTGGCCGTCGGTCGCCACTGAGACATGGACAGAGCCTAGCCGGTGCGGAGATAAGACCGTAGCACCAACACCTGCGTCTAATCGTCACATTCCGGGGGGTGGGGGGTGGGGTTGGAGAAGCCAACAACAGCCGTAACTAGAACCTGATCAGAAGCACGTCACAACCTTACTGTCCGGTCACTAACAGAAGCTCGATGGGCTGACCATCGTGTTTTGGGGAGCCAGGAAGAGCAGCGGTCTGCGAGGGGCCCCAGGGCCGGGAGGAGCTCGGCTGCAGGTCCCGGGAAGAACGCCGGGGACGCCCAGGCCTGGACTCGTGGGCAGGAAGACGCCCGGGGAGAGGCGGGCGTGCGTTCACCCTGCGCATCGTCGTCGGGGCACCTGGGTTTGCTCCGTGGTGGAGAGTCAGGGGAGAGGGCTCCGAAAGACGCTGTGGGGCGGGGGTGGCAAAGGCGCTAACAACCCCCCCCCCCGTGGCTCAGTGCGGACCCCGGTTTTCCGTGCTCTGAGGTGTGGAGCAGAAAGCAGCCTAAGGAAAGCACAGCGACAGGAGGGCCAGGGGCAGCCTCACAGAGAGACCACGTCTCATGGGCCACGAGACACGCAGCCGCATCCCTGGTATCGGATGTGTCCTGCATTTGGCCCCGAAAGGAGCCCGCGGAGGGCGCAGGGCGGTGGGAGGGAAGGCGGGAGCTGGCTCACAGCCGTTGGTTCAGTAGCAGGAAACAGGCGGTTACGAAGCCCAGCCGGTGCGCAAGCCCCAAGCAGCGGAGTCTTACTTGGAGGGGGGGGTCTCTGCGGCGGGCGCGGCGGCGGAGGCCGACCGGGAACCGACAGAGACCTACTTGGAGAACGGTGGCGGTCCCCAACAGCTTCCAGCTCCTGCTTTAACTCCGCCAGGTCGGCGTCACCTGAGGGCACGGCGGAAGGCGGGTGAGGTGAGTGGGGGTCAGGTGCAGGTGTGCACAGGGCCACCTGTGGCGGGAGGAGCCCCCGCGGGACAGCTGGAGTGTCCCCCTGACGGCTGGCGTGGGCGGGGAAGGACACCCAGTGCCTGCCGGGAACATGCCAAGAACCCTCGGCAAGAGCCGGTGTCCAGACACGAGAGACACAGAAAACTCGCGGGGGTGTCCAGCCCTTTGGCGTCTCTGGGCCACCCCAGAAGAAGAACAGTTGTCTTGGGCCACACATTAAGTACACTGTGACATGTAATCACAAAAAAATCTCATCATGTTTTAAGTAAATTTATGGTTTTGTGTGTTGGGCCGCATGCGGCCCGTGGGCCTCAGGGTGGACACCCCCGCTGAAGGGCAGACAGGTGTGTTTCCTTCTGGAGTAACCGACAGGACATCCACCCGGACGGGAGGAGACAGCTGGAAACCACAGCCCCCCGCTGTGCGGCCCTCACTCTAAAAACAGGGCGACCGTCCGGCAAGTTGAGAATGACGTCACTCCTCTGCCCTGAGCAGCCTGCCGTCAGCGACAAGGCCCCGGCAGGGAGTGTCCCCAAGCACCCAGTGCGTCCCACACACGGTGGCCCGGGGCCTGCCACTTCACAGGCCTTCGCTGTCCTGACCTGTCGTGCCAAAGCCGGCTGCAGCCGAGAGCAGCCCGAGGAAGTGACTGCTGTGTTTTACTACGCGTGCATTCGTCACATCTAAGTTCAGAACGAAAATGTGTGACATTCAAATCTTGTATCTATATACTCAGAAAAGTAGAAAATATGCTTAAAAAACCCTGGCGTGCCATGGATTACTATGGTGCCGTAAGCCAAGATGCTCTTGGGTTTTCCCTCCCACGCAACACGGCCCGGTTCATTCTGTTTTCACTCGGACACGCCACCCCTCCAGCCCACAACTGCGCCCCGTGCGAGCGGCCAAAGGCTGAGCTGGGAGAAGTGGGGGCGTCTCCTCCCAGCGGGGATGTCTGAGCACCTGGAGGGTGAAGACCCTGCGTGCCCGCCCGCTGGCCGGGCAGCCTCCACACAGCCTGCTGCTGCAGTCCTCATGCGGAGGCGCTGCCCTCCTCACATCCGCCTCCCCTTGAGCAGTGGCCGGGACGCTGGCCACCTCTTGTCTGAGGGGCACGTCCCTTCAGCCACCCCCGCTCCAGGGCAGGAGCCCTCTGGACGAGCACTGACGGAGCGACCGGATGCACGGATGAAGGCTGTTGGTGCCCAGCGCACCTGGCTGTGCATCTCCATCACCTGGGATTCCCAGGCACCCCACCCCCAACCCACATCTCCAGGGTGGGGCTCAAAAACCTGTAAGTCCCGGCGGGCTGGGCAGCTGGGCTTCGAACCAGCTTTGGAGCCACTATCTATGAGTTGGAGGGACTTGGGGGCCTCTGCACCTCTCCCCACAGCACAACCGGGAAGCACCTTGACTCCCTTTCACCCCTGCTCTCTGTTTTTGCCCCAGCGCAAAGGGTCCCAGCACCTGGCTAAGCTCCTGCACCTGCTGGGCACAGCGCGCCTCCGACAGGAGACACAGGCCCGGCAGCCGCACGGCGTTTGTGGCTGCGGGTGGGCCTGGCGCTGAAACGGGAACCGCCTCTCTCCAGCCCAGGAGCACGCGCGGGTTTTAAACTATTCGAAAGAGTCGCCAAACCACATCATGTAGAGCCACGCAGTTCCATCCATACGACCTCCAGTCCAGTGATATGATGATGCCAATGTGCAGTAGCATCATTAATTACACACATAAAGTTACGTAATGTATAAAGTTATTACTGTGTAAGAACATAACGTTATAAGTAGGTAACACCAGACCCGTGACTCAGGACGCAGATACCGAATGTCTCTTATGAGGCTGAATGAGAAAAGTTTTGGAGAGGAAAAAAAAGACATCAAATGGAAAACCCGTTCAGCGCTGTGGCTATTTGAATACACGGGAGAAACAGGAATTATGAGTCTGGGATATTTTAGGGGCACCAAGAATTGTAAGGACAACACAGATCACTAGAGAAGATCAGCGTGCTGGTCGCTGCTGCCTTCCCCAGCCCAGTGCCTATCACCGGCCGTGACTGTGTGCTGTGGCCTCTCAGGGGGCAGGCGCGCTCGGCCGTGGCCTGATGATGCCAGATGCTGAGACAGAGAGGGAACTCGGTGCTGGGAAAACAAAGGTCCACGCTACCTTTGTAGGTTGGGTGCTGCTTCTTCTTGGTGAGCGCAGGGGACTTGCCGGGCGGTGCCGCTGCCGTGGAGCCGGAAGCGTCGGAAAGGTCGTCCCCCGCCAGGTCACTGTCTGAGACCACGGTCTGGCTTATTTCATCCAAATAGTCTTCTTCGTCTTCGAGAATATCCCCTTGGGGAAAAGTGAGTCACAGACACAGTGAGGGTGGCAGGGCACGGCCTTCCACAGGGGGCTCTGTTTCGACAGCAAGGCCTGCGGCTCCTGCAGGGACACCCCGGCACTGTGGCTTGCGGGCCACGGTGTCCCCACGTGAGCAGGGACGGGGCCCCAACTCTGTTCGTGCCTGGGACGGGGACCGAGCCCCAGGCCCTGACATCCCCGAAGGCGCTGTTTTCAAGGTGAGTTCTGACGTCTGCAGGCCTGTTTACCAGGGCACCCATCACCCTGCACACGAGCACCGCCCTGCACACCAGTGCCGCCCTGCACACGAGCACCGCCCTGCACACGAGCATCACCCTGCACACGAGCACTGCCCTGCACACGAGTGCCACGTGCACACGAGCATCACCCTGCACACAAGCACCGTCCGCCTCGTGGCTCCGGGAGAAGACGAGCACTTGGAGCGCCAGTTTGGAGAAGAACCCCTGCCTGCCCGCCTCACCATCCCACTCGAGAAGGCCTCCTGGCCGGCTCACCTTCTGACTCGTAGTCCAAGCTCGTGAAGTCGAAGTTCTCCTCCAGCAGGCAGGAGTTGGCCGTGGGCGACACGGAGGCCATGCTGTCCCGCTTCCGGGAGATCTCCTCCTGCAGACCTTTGAGCCAGTCCTTGGTCTTCGGCCGGATCTTCACTGCCCGGCCTTTCACCTGCGAGGGACAGTGCGCAGCCCCCTGAGCACGGGGCCGGGCCACCCCCACCCCGGGACCCCCAGGGCTGCTGCGTGCTCAGACTCAGGCGTCTTGAGAAAAGCGGAGTGTCCAGGCCTCCGGCGGGCTGGCATTCGGTCTCAATAAGAGTCGAACGACCACCTCCAGCTCCTCGTCCCGTGTGAATTTACACTCAGGATATCATCAGAGTGGAAGCCAGCTGAGCTGCCGGCTCGAGAACGCACACTCTAGACAGACAGACCACCGCGCGCCCACACGGAGGTGTGGCTGAGGGCGGACCCAGGAACTCGGCGGGAGCTGGACTCTAAAACTTGCTCTTTCTCCCAAATTCTGCAAGTACCCAGGGCCGGGCAGTAGACACCTCCACGAGGACACCAGAGTTAGACGCCAGCTGAAGTGTCCCAGCTCTGCCCTCCGGGGGTGCCCACGTGACCCTGGGAAGACCACGAAGAGGCCCCCACTCCACGGGTGGCCGGCGTGGCTCACCTTCATGCCGTCCACATTGAGAACGCTGAGCGCCGAGTGGCTGTCTGCGAAAGTCACCAGCATCTGCCCTTGGTTGATCCTGGGACGAAGGAAACAGGTCCGGTCAGCCCCGAGGGGTCGGGGCGGCGGCCCCGAGTCCGTGAGGTCAGCGGCCCTGCGACCCACACCCGCCCACCGGGGGGACGGCGGCCACGGTCACCTGACGAGAACGATGGTCCCATAGCTCCCCAGGGTCTGCATGAGCTCGGCGCGCACGTCCTCGGGGAACTCGGTCTGCTCCTCCGGCGTCGGCGACTGGAGGTCGACGACGACGGTGGCGTCCAGCGGGCCCTGGAAAGAGGACACTTCCTGGAACACCCGCTCCCGAGCACCCACGTCCACTTCTTGAACTTCCACCTCCACGATGGCCAGCACGGGTCTGCGTGAGACACGGAGGGAAGACGGGCAACTGTTAGCCTGGGACGGGGCCGCGGCGCAGCCCCACAGCTCCCCCGTGGACGGGGGCCACCCACGGCCCCTGCTGTGGGCCCCAGAGGCACTGCCGCCCCCACCCCCTGCCCCCGGTCCTGTCCTCCCCGACCTCAGTGCTCTCCTGACATTTTTTTTTAAACTTTAACTTGCTGACTTTTTAAAAAGATTTTATTTATTTATTTCTTAGGGAAGGAAGGGAGATAGAGACATCACTGTGCGGTTGCTGGGGGCCATGGCCTGCAACTCAGGCATGTGCCCTGACTGGGAATCGAACCTGCGACACTTTGGTTTGCAGCCCGTGCTCAATCCACTGAGCTACACCCACCAGGGCTTATCCTGACATTTTCATGGAAGGGTGAGGGGAGAGGAAACACAGCCAGCCACCAGCAAAGATTTTGCACTCGGCGATCACCAGCACGGCTACGGACACAGAGGGGTGGGCACCGTGCTCCCTGTGCTGGCGGGGGGAGGGGGTGGTCAAGTTCTTCCGGGGGCCGTTTGGCGACGTGCGTCGAGAATCTCAGAGAGGCTTGTCTCTTCTAATCTGAACTCCCGGGACTCTGCTCTAAGGAACGACCAGGGGTTCAGAGCAAGATCTGAGCGCGAGGCCGGTCCCTCCGACGCTGTGGGGAACCACCTAACTTCTCCGGGTCGGGGGCACAGTGGGTTACGATGCAGACGCAGAGGGCTCGCTGTGGGCTCATGATGCGCGATGCTCCCCGCCCCCCCGGAGCGTCCCCCACCTCCGACACCCACATGGCTCCCACTGTCTGTCCTTCAGGGCCCGGGGCCAAGGTCGGCGTGTCCGAGCGGCAGTCCCCGGCCACCGGGCATAAAACAGCACCGACCCCTCGTCTGACCCCTCAGCGCCAGGGGCAGGGCCCAGGACATACGGCCCCTCGGCAAACAGCGTTCAAATGAGTGCTTCCGAGTGCGCGCCCTGAGCTAGCACACCACAAAGTCCCTCGTGTGGAGACTTCCCGAGGTTCACTGCTAGGCGTGTGTTTTCCACCACAGGCTTCTGAAGAATTACAGGTGTCTCAAGACGGAGACCTACGGGCTGGCCACCAGCTCTCCCTCTTAATTTCTTCCCTGTGAACGCTGACGTGCATGCGCTCTTTCGGTGGCAGCCACGGGGCGATCAAACCTGCTGACACCCTGAAACGCCGTCCCCGGGGCCTTGAAGGGTGGTCTACGAGACGCGTGTCCCCCCCGAGGCCGGTCCCCGTGCACCCAGGGCTGGCAGCGCTCTGCTGCTGGGGCCCCTCCGTAGTTAACGCAGGACGCACGGGCCAACCCCACGGCCCGGAGCGTTTGAATCCCTGGAGCCCTGCCGCGTCCGTGAGACGCGAGGAAAAACACTCGTCACGGAGGAGCAGGTTGGTTCCGGGGCGCGGCATCCGCCGTGGGGCCAAACCGCGGCCACCAACGGACGAGCCGGGTGTGTGATGTCGACGGGACTGTGTCGCAAAAACGTTATGCGGCAAAAACGCGAGGCACACAACGGCGTCACTCGTGAGACTTTAAATGACAAGACACTTCGGGCTGTGTCTTTGGCACTGTCATAAGTGATGTCATTTGTGAGATGGAGTGACGGCGGAATGCACACTCGTCAGTTCCTGGTGCTGGGTGTGTGGCTGTTCGTGCTTCGCTGTTTCTTACTCTCTCTCACACACACACTCTCTCCCTCTCTCACACACACACACTCTCACACACACACACGGACTCAGACGGCGACAGCACGCTGCCCCCCGACGGGGAGCAGCAGACAGAGGAGCATGTGCCGTGGCGGCGAGGGCCATACCTGTGATCGGACGCCTGCAGCTCTGCTCGGCCGTAATACCTGAGGGTGCCGGGAGACCAGGTGTGTCTGACCTTGGAGTCCGCATCCAGGTCGTTGTCCAGGAGGTTGACTTCTCCGGCTACGCACAGGATGCGCATGGAGAGAGGCACAGACAAACACAGCGTTGTATCAGCACACAGGAACGCCGACTGCGGAGCTCGTACGGCAGAGACGGATCCCACCTGTGTCCGACTCGTCTGCTCTCACCCCTGGGGCTTGAAACTGCGCCAAGGCGGCCTTGGACTTGGGGTAAAAGATCTACTTCCACGGAGCCGTCCAGAACAGTAGACCAGCCCTGCCTGCATCTCCCCCCGCCCCAAGGGGCACAGTGGGGGGCGGGGCACAGAAGTCACACCACGGGCATCCCGTCCAGGGCTCGGGGGCGGAGCAGGTCTGCAGCCCTCCGCACAGCGGGAGAGGCTGAGGCTGAGAATACGAAGGCCTCTCAGTGCCCGGGGGCCACACAGAGGTCCACACGGAACACACTGCACCTTCTCACCCTGCAGAGGTGTGTTCCCGGCCTCGACATCTCGGCACGCATCTGGCCAGAGAAGTTCGGGAATTTATGCACACGTTTATAATAGGTGGTCTGGTCTTAGATGGACCGCACGTCCTGCCTGGGCATCCATCACTCAGCGTTCAAGGCACACTGAAGCTGATGGGTAACAAGCCCTGACTTTCCCGTGTTCCATCTGAATGGGGGCTTCAGAAGGGACAGTGTGGTCACATGGGGCAGTCTGGACGACATGCATTTGGGGGTGAGGGGGGCAGGGGAGGGGGACAGCGTGGCTTCTCTCCTGCTCCCCGCCCGCAGCCCAAGGCGGACGGGGTGGCAGGGGGCATAGCTGTGGTGCAGGGAGGGGGACCGTCCGGCCCAGGTCCACCTGCTGCTCAGTCTCTAGAAGGAGGACACAGGGGGGAAGCTCCCCCAAAGCGCAACTTCCTCAGCTTAGGGCCTAACAACTGGGGTGACGCCGTGAGGCTTTGGCTGTTTATGCGACACAGAGCACTGGGCGGAGCCAGTGGAATGCTCCCTCCCCGGGACTGAGCGCCGCGGCCCCCCAGACCCATCAGACGCGCCTGTCCCACGCACCCATCCCGTCCAAGGGGTGCCTCTTCCTCCACCACAGGACCCTGTCTGTCCAGGCGGGGGTGCGGCACTTGTCGCTGGTGTCGTAGGCCGCGGAGCCGACATCATACTTGTAGGTGGGTCCGAAGTTAATGGTGCCTTCGTGGAAGTCTTTGAAGATCTGGGGGAGGGGGAAGGAAGTTGCAGGACCACCGCAGTCCCCCGAGATTCTGTACGTCGTGCACGAAAACAAGGAGGGCCCGCTGCAGGGCGCTCGCTCCTAACAGTCGCGGAACCTGCGTTGCATTTATGAACACGTCTAATCCCGGACATGTACGTGCCTTTTAACCAGCAACGCAGGATCGAAGGCCTGACTCCCACCACTGGGTCTCCCCCGCCCCCCCTGGCACAGCGTCTGCTCGTCAGCCCCACGGGGCGGGAAGGCAAGAGGCAAGGGTGCACACTCCTGGCCTGGCCGCGCCCGCCCAGACCCACCCAGCGAGGCCTTAACCGGTGTTTGTTAACCGAACGCACGGAGGACACAGAAGCCCAGAACTGCAGGCGAACTCTCTTCTGTCTCCGTGTGGCTCTAGATGCAGCCTTGGTGCTGGGGAGACCCGGGAGCAGGGCGTGCCCTCAGTGTGTGGAGGATGTCGGCAGGAGGAAGCTATGGTGTGGTACATCCCCCCTGCCCCCTGCCCGGACCCCCTCAGCGCCCACGTCACCGGCAGGGTCGAGGGGGTGGGTGCAGAACACCCGGAGGCACGCCTGCACCTGGCCTCCCTCCGCTCACGCGTGTGACCAGCCAGCAGCATCCCCAGAGGTACTGGCAGGCACCGCACCCCAGCCCAGCCTGGGGGTGGGGGTCGCAGGGGGCCGACAGGCATCGACAGGTGCCACCAGCAGGAGCTGGAGGCTGGCTGGTGCGACCTTGCAGAAGTGAGCACAGGCCCTACACTTGATTCCTTCCAATTATGCCGCAGCCTTAGGAGACACTGAAAACCGCACATGGGTCCCGGAGGGGGGAATGTGCCCTGTTGGAGTCTGGAATAGCATCGTGGCTCTGTTACTGACCCATGTGACTTTGGATGAGTTATGGGACCCTAGCCTCAGTTTTCTTGTCTACAAAATGGGTATACCAGCCCCAGCTGGTGTGGCTCAGTGGATTGAGCGCCAGCCTGCAAACCAAAGGGTCACCTCTTTGATTCCTGGTCAGGGCACATGCCTGGGTAGCAGGCCCCATCAGGTCTCCAGTAGGGGGTGTGTGAGAGGCAACAACACACTGATGTTTCTTTCCCTCTCTTTCTCCCTCCCTTTCCCTCTAAAATAAATGAAATCTTTTTTTTAAAGATTTTATTTATTTATTTTTAGAGAGGGAAAGGAGGGAAAAAGAGAGAGAGAAACATCAATGTGCAGTTGCTGGGGGCCGTGGCCTGCAACCCAGGTATGTACCCTGGCTGGGAATCGAACCTGCGATGCTTTGGTTCGCAGCCCGAGCTCAATCCACTGAGCTACGCCAGCCAGGGCTATAAATGAAATCTTTTTAAAAATAAAAATAAAATGGGCATATCAATAATAACCAATTTGTAGGAGAGTCTCGAGAGTCAACCATACGAACTGGTGTGTAAACTGTATGTTATTAGATATTTCTCTGGTGGTTCATGGGCGAGCCCATGAGAAATGGAGACATCCACGTATTCTGAGCAGGGCCTAAAGCGTCCCTAAAGCGTGGCTCAGTGCGTCTGGAGTACGGCAGTCCCCAAGAGGCTGGCCCGGGAGTGTGAGCGGGTGGGCTTTTGCACCCAAGCTTCTCCATCCTCCCACCGAGGGGCGCTCAGAGGCGGGGTCACTCCAAGCTGCGGTGACTCACGTGAGCACAGCTACTTCCTGGTTTGACAGGGTAAGGGACACCCCACCCACGGAGCACAGGCCCTGGCGGTGGCTCCTGCAGCTGGCTGGGGTGCCTGCGGTGTGCTTTTGTAGAGCAACGGCACCCTCCACCCCCCGCCACGAGAGGACACCCAGCCCAAACACAGCCCGCTTGGAGAGCGGCAGGAGGTGTGTGTGTGTGAAGAGACCCTCGCATTTCTCCAGCTTCGGGGGCCACACGCGTGTCCTACAACGTCACGGCCCTTGTGCAGTCCACTCCCGGAACCCGTTTGCTGGACAGGAGCACGCACGCTGAGGGGGTCGTTCCCCACTGGAGCGGCTGCTACAGTTGCTTTAGGAGCACCACTTACTTTTCCACTGGACTTCTGCAGCTGCAGCTGATCAAATTCCAGAAGTTTCTTCCAGTCTTGGCGTTTCACAAAATAGAAGACTTCTTCGTACGTGAGATCAATGCGGTAGTTGAAATCGCCACACCAGAACACGTAGTCGTGAGAAAAGATGTTTCTCCCCTGCGTCGTAAAGGAGGTCACGGTCATTCCGGCCCGTCTCGCAGGGAGGGTGGCGGGGGTGGGGGGGGGGAAGACCTCCCCACGCAGGGGATACAAAGATGCACTTCCTCAGAATGTTCCTTAAAAAACGTCTCCTACTAGAACATCTTACATTTCACTCAGCCCACAGACCCACTGAGGAACTTCCACACGGCTGGCTGACTTTGTGATTTTGCGCAGTGGTGTCGTTGCGTGGTTTGGGGGAAGCCCCAGCTCGGACCTGGGCCCCACGACTGTGCTCGGTCATCAGACTGTTCTCTGCGTTTATGTCTACACCCCAAGAAGGATTGCCCAAACACTTCCTGGTGCGAGGATGAGCTTTCAGGAGCTAAGTAAACTCGCTCAGGACGTGCAACTTCATAAAACTTCATGGATTCCACTCATTTCCATCCGGTGACCCTCCCTCTCCGTCTCGCCCAGTCACTCTGACCGGGAGGCCCAGGTCGCCCCCTCCACCCCCCACCAAGAATCCCACACCAGCAGCCGCTACCCATCAACCGTCTGCCAGGGCTGGGCTCTGTGCTGGGGGTGCACCTCCTCACGGCAGCCCTGGGCAGCACACGCTACTGGCTTCTTTACAGTAAAAAAGAAAAAGTTCAGAAAAGCTTGCTGAAGGCTGTCCCCGTAGAAGTATGTGACAAAGACAAAATCTGAACTTGGCTCCAGAATGGGTGTCTGTCCTACTATGTGGTGCAGCATTCCGCTCCGCCTCCCTGTCCCATGACAGCCGTCGGGGCAGAGGCTGCAGTGATCACAGCCAGAGAAGACAGTTGTCAGGGCAACGCCGCCCCATGGGCCCTTCTGCAGTGCTGGGCGAGTTCCCCCTCCTCACCGCTCGAGACAGGGGCTGCCAGCCACCGCAGCCCCCGAGCCCCCCGAAATGTGGCCAGGGCAACCGAGGGCGTTTTGCTTTGTTTCATTTTAACTGATTTACATTTAAGTAGCTATGTGTGACGGGTGGCCACTCTACCGGACAGTGCAGGTGTAGAGTATTTCCTTACAGATATGTTCACTCCTTCTGCTGTCGATGCAGGAGCTACAGCACATCTTTTACTCTGAATGTGTCCTTCAAATAGGACATGATTATTCTGAATGTACTTCAAAACAGCACTTCCTAGGGAGAAGGCTGGGCTTTTTAAAAATTACATAAAGCACACATAAAAAATATGCATCGTGTCCTACATAGTTTGGAAAATGACAGACTGCCAATTTCCCAACTCATTTGTGTCTTCTTTTAACCAGGAAACAAAAACTACAACAAGGATTATAGGAATTATTAACAAAAATGAAGGAGTTTTGCCTAGAGTGCTCGTGCAGCCTAGAGGAGACGGGATGTCAGTTTTGGGGGGTCTGGCCTCCCGTGGAAGGGCCCTGGGACCTCGTCAGCGGTGGTGCATACACCGTGGGGAGAACGGCTGGGGTCCCTCCTCACACTGCGAGGCAGGTGGTCGGCACCAGGCTGGAGGTGTGCGGGCCACAAGCTTGCACAGAACGGAGAACTTCAAATCTGAACTTGAACAGGAAAACCTGGTGGCTTCAGGATGAAAACCTCCAAATCACCACTAGAGGGCAGCACGATGCATGTTACTGGCGACTGGGTGACCAGATGGGCAATGCAGGGCCTCTGAGCCAAAAAAACATTCACTATTTTCTAAAACGGGCCATCTTCTCGGAGCCACAGCAGGACATGTGCCAGGACTGTGACTCTCAAGAAAACCGAGTCTCGTGCTGCGAGGGTTCAAACGTTCCTCACCAGCCTGGACAAAGCAAGGACAGATTCCCTTCCCCACTCCACACACTTGAATTAGACAGAAAGTCAGAAAACGCAGTGGAAAATGCAGCGTACGCGGGGGCACTGGAGAGACGTCTGAAGATGGGGACCGAGCCTCCAGGCGGACGCCCCGGGCTTGCCTCCCTCCCCAGCACGCAGTCCCCAAGAGCTGGGGCCCTGTGCTGGTGCGCCCCCTGCTCCCCGCAGTGCCCGCCCAGAGGCGCAGCTGAGACACCCACCCGGGGGCGGGGCTGGACGGAGCCCCGAGGACCACCCCCAGCGCCGCCCCCAGCACCGCCCGCGCTCACCATGGGGAAACTCAGCTTCTGCGTGATCTCCCTGTAGTCCTCGTTCCTCTCCTTCACCTGGGACTGCCCGGCCGTCAGGTGGCTGCACACGAAGCAGAGGCTGGTGCTGTGGAACTGGAAGCGGATGCCCACGGCCCCCTTGTTCCCAGCCTTGCCTCCCATGCCCGTCTTCACCGTGTCGATCGCCACGTCCCTGCAACACACAACGAGCGCGTGCTTCTCAGCGGCTCCAGGGAAACGCGCCTGCGCGGAGAAGAGCCGGGCTGCCCCTGACGCCGCGGTCCCTCCCGACCTCTTCCGTGTGCTGCTGTCCGCAGCTGCCCCCCCCACCCCTCCCGCCCCGGGTTGGCAGCCGCACCGCCGGAGGGCTCTGCACTCACAAAAGCACTCCACAAAGAGGCCCCGAGGCCGACCCACCTCCATCCTTGCTTGCCGTTCTGGGTTCTCGCTGCCAGCAGAGACAGCACAGACCCCACCACCAACCTCCCCCCACCTGCCTTCCCTGCAAAGCCCAGGAGGTGCGCTCAGGTCATCCCGTGTTTAAGGACAGGAAGCATCCAGTTATTTAGCTGGGCGGGGTAGGTGGTTCAATGCAGGCTCCTGATCGCCTTCGAACGCCAGCTTATACTGCATGTGAGTGAGTGTGCAGGCGATCAGACAGACACATGCACAGGCTGGGGCAGAGGCCATGCCTGCTACAGAGGCTTTCTGCCCACGTCTTATTTACAATTTCCTATTTATTTATTTATAAAAGTATGTTGTCTTTTATTTTTAATTTTAGATTTATTTATTTATTTATTTATTTTTAGAGAGAGGGGAAGGGAGGGAGAGAGGATGAGAAACATCCATGTGTGGTTGCCTCTTGGGCAACCCCTACTGGGGACCTGGCCCACAACTCAGACATGTGCTCTGACTGGGAATTGAATGGGCAACCCTTTGGTTTGCAGGCCGGTGCTCAACCCACTTAGCCACGCCAGCCAGGGCTAGATTTCTTTTTAAAAGAGGTAAAAGAACTGCCATTTCCTGGTGAGTTACTCAGCTCTTGGTCAGAGGTTTCCCGTCTTAAATTTCAATGAGGTCTCCCTTTCCTAGTGCAGAGCTGAGCTCAGGTGATGATGGCCATGTACAGTAACATTCCTAAAAGGGTTCAGCTTCCGCCCTGGCTGGTGTGGCTCAGTGGACTGAGGGCCAGCCTGTGAATTGAAAGGTCAGTTCGATTCCCAGTCAGGGCACATGCCTGGGTTGCAGGCCAGGACCCCAGTTGGGGGTGTGCGAGAGGCAACTGATACATCGTGATGTTTCTCTCCTTCTTTCTCCCTTCCTTCCCCTCTCTCTAAAACTGAATACATAAAATCCTGAAAAAAAAGAGTTCAGCTTCCTAAGCTAGAAGGTCCCCATTGTGGGTCTGCTCATTGCCAGACAATATTCTATTCAGCCCAGCTTCTCCTCGGGGGTTTTCTCCCATTGACCTGGAAGAATGAATGGCGGGCCGAGATTCCTGTCGCAGGGCGAGGAGGAAGTCAGAACAAAACCCACCAACACTCCCTGTTCCCCCGGACGCGCGGGCACTCCAGGTTCTCACCTGATGAACGGGACGTGGTAGGGGCGCACGAAGATGTAAAGGCAGACGCCCACCAGCTGCGCCGAGGTCAAGAGAATGTACCGATGGGAGCGCGAGATGGCCTTCTGCAGCTGCTCGCCCCACATCTTCCGGTTGGTGGTGCTGGGAAAGGAAAGCAGAGCGGCGCCGGTGACTGTCGGGCCGGGCGGCAGTGGGTTCGCCCACCTACAAAGCCTCCAGCCCCGAGCTCGTCCCCGACACGAGGGAGGGCAGGCAGCGTGCCTTGTGGGGCCAGGCCTCCACTGGGCCCCTCGGCTGGCCATTAGACACGCAGTCCCCAGCCCTGCCGCCTGGGGCCCAGCCGAGGGCCCCGGCTCCTGAGAGCTCTGCAGAGTCGGGTTTTATTGTTTGTTCAGGAAGTTCCTGAAATAAAGCCGCAGCGGGTCCGGCAAGAAGAGTGCTGGCTGACTTTACTCGCGGTGCGAATCCAGCGGTGGAGGGCAGAGAGGGGCCTCCGCCCACACTCCTGCCTTCTGGCCTCTCCCGGGAACGTGACTCAGCAGCCGCACCCTCCAGGCCGCCTGCCAGCTCCCAGCCGGACGCAGCCTGCACACCTGGCCGGACAGCTCCCCAGAGAGCGTGCTCGGGAACCCACCCCACTTCCATTCCCGCAGTTAGCAGGGAAAGAGGACAGAGGTTGGGGAGAGGGCGGTCGGCGGTCCCTCCACAGCGAGGGGCGAGGTCGGCAGGTTCAGACCCAGGCGGCTGTGGCCCCGCACCTGGCTCGGGAAGCTCTGGTCTCGGTGGTTTTCACGTCACTCTTCTGCACCCCGGCACCCGGCCGCTTACCTGGCATTGACGATATTCCCTGCGCTCAGCTCCACCATCTCCTCGAACCCCACGGCAAAGATGTCTGCTGGGCTGCTGTCATCTGGGGGCAGGCGGCAGATAAAGGAGTCAGGCCCACCAAGGCTGTGCTGGCTGGGGCGTGGGGCAGTGCGTGGGCCTGTGGGCCCAGCTGTCCCGCTGCCCGGGGGCCCTCATCCAGTCCACGGGGCCCACCTTCTCCTGGCTCCCACTGTGCACTGGGCCTTTCCCTGTCTACATTCTCGGGCACGTGACTGCACCTCACAGGGGTCCCGAAGCGTCAATCAGAGGCCACACGTGGAAGTCCCACTGCCAGGGGCATCTCGCCATCCCCCCAGCCAGACCCCAGGTGACAGGGGCAGGCCCTGTCTCATGTTTGTCTGAGCCCGGCCAGTGGGCCAGTGGCCCAGCTTTCGAGGCTAATGGCTGACTGGGTGGTCCTGCTGGACCGCCTGCTCTGGGGGCCATCTCAGAGAAGGGAAAACAAGCCCCACTGTGGGCTGTGGGCTGTGGGCTGGAGCTCGGATGACACCTGCTAAAGACGCTCCTGGCTCACAGGAAACAGCAGGGGAGAGGCGTTCCTTCTGTCCCCTCGGACAGGAACCCTGCAGCCACCGGCTGCCCCTCCAGTCGCATCCCGCCGACACTCAGCGGCCCCAGCCAGCAGGAGCCTGTAATTCCGCCCCCCACCCCCCACTCCCACTCCGTCCCCAGTGCCAGGCTGTCAGCGTCCTTTCCTGCTGTCCACGCAGCCCAGCCAGGAACCGCGAGCCTGACTGGCATAGAGTTTCCTTCCTTCCTTTTTTATTTTTTAAAGAAAAAACACTGTTCCTCTGATCTGCTGGGCAACTGTCACTGCAGCTCCTTCTCGCTCCTGAGCGTGGCGACTGTTGGCGGGAGCCCTGGCCAGCCCTCTGTCCCTCAAAGCCCCCTGCACAGTGAGAGCCAGCTTGTGTCAGCCCCCCCCAGCCCCGCCCCCCCTTCCTGCGGGCCAGGGAAGACTGGCCATTTTAGCAAAACTGGGGGGAGTCTCTTGGGCCCGGGGGGTGCTCATGCTCTCGGCCCATGCAGGGCCTGCCGGGGGGGGGGGGCAGTCAGTCCCAGCGACCCCGCACTGCGGACTCGAGCTACCCTGCCCGCCCAGGCAGCAAGGGGGTGCGACCTGTGCCTGCCACCGCGGGGAAGGGACCTGCTGACACGCGCGCGGCTCAGAGAACGGGGTCGCCAGTCTGCTCCAGGACCCAGGGAAGCCGCAGGGAGCAAGGCCACCGGGTCAACGGGAGCAAATCGACACATCCTTCAAGTCCTGAGTTCTGAGCCCCTTCGCTATGCCCTAGCAAGCCCGAAGACAACAGGTGGGCTGTCAGATCTGGAGTTATCTCCTCCTTAAAAGGAGCTCGAGGTCGTGACCACCTGGAGCGGCTGTCACAGAGACGCACGGTCGGCTGGGGCGAGGCCGGGACAGGCGTCCTTGGCCAGCAGGGACGCGACCCCTGGCCCGGCTCTTCCAGAAGGCAGCTCGCCCTCCTCAAACAAGAGGTTCTAAAAGCCAAAACCGAAAACCGCGAACTCTGCCTGTGTGAGGAGAGGAGACAGATCCACCGCTCTGACGGCCTTTCCAAACGCCTGGACGAGAGAAGGCGTCAGACCGTTAACTGGCCAGGCGTGCTCTGCAGAGGTGGAGCGAGAACGCCAAACCCCGAGTTCCACAAGTCGGCCGCCCCCCGGAAAGGCCAGCCCGAGGGCCCCACGGCGCTCACCCTGGGGCTCGGCGGCGCCCGAGAGCCTGGGCGAGTCCAGCAGCCAGTCGGCCAGCTCGGCCGTCCCCAGGAGGTTGCTCCTGAACTGCTTCCCACCGTTCACGTTCCAGGTCCCCACGGCGACGCGGATCTGCTTGAGGCGCGTGAACTCCGACTGCCGCTCCAGCATCGCCCTCAGGATCCTGGGAGTCACTGCGGGGGGGGGGGGGGGGCGCACAGAGGGGCGTCGGCCTGCGTCCTCCAGAGACTTGGACGGGGTCTCTGCCTGCAGGACGCGGCCACCTGTGCTGTGGACGCGGGCCGTGGTCGCAAGAGGCTGCCGCCGCCCACCATGGCCAGGATGCCCTGCTGCGGCACTCTGGCTGAGGAGTCCAGAAAACGCAGGACTAGGGAGCCCCTGTCCACACCTGGTCCCCAGCCAGGGCCACAGAGGCGGCGACACCAGGCCACAGCATCTCACCCATTCAGCATCCCCTCCACGGCCCGGGGCAGGGGGTGGTGGGTGGGATTTAAGGGAGGAGGCACTGTGATATGCTGTTTTAAATAACTAAAACCATAAATATCTTACTCCCATCGTGCATTCTCCACCTTCCATCCTGCACGCCCATGTTTTGTCTGAACCTAGTCTCTCCTCAAGGCTTTAAAAAACCGTTACTCTGACCCACGCCCATCCCTAGCTCTCCAAAACACGTCCCCTTCTCCAAGCTAGTGACTTCACCCAAATCTACGTCCCGTCTCCCGTGCTGCCCCACGAGACTCGCTGTCCTGCCCAGTGCTCCCTCCAGCTTTCCCCCCGGGCCGCCCTTCCTCCCGCGGGGACAGACACAGATGCCGCCCGGGCCCCCTGAAGCCACGGACGAGCCCCCCACGGGAGAGGGGAAGTACACAAGAGCTGTGAAACCATCTTACACGAGGGCAAATTAATTTTTTGACAACAACAAAACTTTCTAAAACAGAACTTAAGACTCATGAGGAAAAATGCCTTGCCTCCCCCTCTCCTCCTAAAATTGTATAGGCTCTGGGAAATGAGATGCTATCAAAATTTTCCAAAAGAAACCTCTAGCTCACTTATTTATGATATCTAACCCCCCCCAAAGAGAAACCCCACAAATTACCTACAAACTCATAGATACAAACTCATAGAACACACTGGCGGCTGCCAGAGGTGGGGCTGGGGGTGGGTGGGTGAAGGGGGTCAAAGAACAGAAGACAAATGAGTCCTGGGGGTGTCACGGGCAACGTGGTGACCTCTTTGGGACTGTTGCTAAGAGGAGATCTTAACCGTTTGCGTCCCAAGAAAAACATTTTTGCACTTCTGTATGGTGATGGGCGTTAACCAGGCAAACTGTGGAGATCTTTTCTGATACCTATAAACATTGAATCCTTGCGACGAGCGCCTGAAACTAATACGACGTGTCAATTATGTCCCACTTTTCAAAAAGCAGAAGAAACCTCTGGCTGCAGACAGAACCGTGAGCCCCCACCCCCTGCAGAGGGCGCTCCTGCTGCCTCCACTCTCACAGGGCCCCGGGGCCGGAAGGAGGCAGGACGCTGCCCCCTGGGGGTGGGGGGGGCTCGCTGGCACAAAAGACATCTGGCAAAGGGACCAAGGACCCATGCACTAGGGCGAGAGCGAGTCTCTGGTGTGAGCTGGCGTTCATAGACACCGACGCTTCTAGAATAGTACACGGACTCCGCCTGATGGGGAAACAGAGTCTGAACTAAGAAACACGAGAGTGGGCTCCCGCTCGAGGCCAGAAAGCCCGGGCACCCGGAACACACGCTGGCAGCTGGGACTGCACGCGTATTTTTACTGTACACGTGTGTGTTGACGTCTGAGAGCCCAAAAATTCTTTCTGTCTGGGGAGACACTGCCCCTCCGGGGATTAGCCAATGCTCTTTTCTTTCTTAAATTACTTTTTTTTTTAATCGAGGTAACGCTGGCTAATGACGTTATATAAGTTCCAGGGGGCAACACTGTGACTCACCATCCGCATCCACCAATGTGTGCTCACCCCCAAAGTCTGGTTCCCGCCCATCACCGGACCATTGTCCCCCTTTGCCCGCCCCGCCCCCTCCCCAGCACCCATGGGCATAAAGGACTCTGTTTCTCTGGAGCCCCTCCTCTGCCTCCTCTCGTGGCCGCCCGTGACTGACCATCTCACAAAAGAGGACAGAACACAGCTGCAGGCTGCTTGGGTTAACAGGTCAAGCTCAGGTGACAGCCAAGTGCAGAGCAGAGGCGCTCCCTCCGTCTGGCCCAAGGCTCAGGGGAGGGTCTGCCACTGGCCCCCCGGGATTGCGTGAGGGCGGCGGGAAGGGCTGGCTAGCATCTCCCCACCCCCCGACACCCACCCCCTCTGCGTGGCGGGGCAGCCGGGCGCCCCCACCCTCCCGCGGGCGGAGAGGGCCCCCCCGTACCCAGCAGGGCTGCGTTGTCCAGAAGCACCCTCCCTCTGTCCGCGGACTCCTCGGCGCAGACGTCCCCGACCAGCAGCAGCCTGATGGCCTCCTGCTTCACCCCGTCGAAGAAGTTGGACTGGATGGTGCGAGACACGGACCGGGCCCCGTCCTTCAGCTTCCCCACCTGCCGGGAGCCGGCCCACAGGCCGTGAGAGGCGCCCACGCCGGCCAGCCCCTGCCCCGGCCCCAGCCTCCCCCCCCCCACCCCCCCGTGCCCCTCGGCCCGCCCCCACCTTGGCCTTGCCCTCCAGGGCCCGGCTGCCCGTGAACATCTTGCTCAGGCTGTGCCCGTTCAGGGACCACATGGCTCTGAAGGACTCCCCAAAGCGGTCGGCAATGGGCTTGGAATTCAGCCGCAGGCTCTCGAGCTGCAGGTGGAGGACCTGGGGGAGGGGTAAGGGGCAGCTGTCGCTGACCTCTCACCTGGAAGCCCCCCACAGCCGCCTGCTCACATCAGCATGTGGGTCGTGGGTTCCTTACTCGGCAGACGGTGGAGCACCCTGCGCCCCCCCCGAGCAAGAGGAGGAACCTTTGCGGCACAGGATGGGGCCCCCACTTTATCTTTACCATCCCACCCGGCCCTCCTCTGACCCCCGTACTCCCCACGCCTGCGCCCCACCACCAGGGAGGGGGCTGGACGGGAAGCCAGGGCGGTCCTTGGACCCCAGGCCTCCTGCGAGCAGGGAGCCAGGAGAGACCACCAGGCACACGGACAGACCAGGGCTTCCCGCCGAGGCCTCATGCCAGGCTCATGTCATCAGCCCCGCGGTTCGCTCACAACAGGCCTTCTAGACCCACAGGTCCCCGGGGTGCCCCTGGGCCTCCACGTCTGAGACGCACGGCAGGTGTGCCTACGGGTGGGCCAGGGGCAGCCCAGCCCCCAGGGACCCTCCCTGCAGACAGACGCCTGGCGCCCCGGTCCCACCTCCCCACAGCGAGACCGCGAACCCAGGGGTCCCACCTCCCCACGGCGAGACCGCGAGCCCAGGGGTCCCACCTCCCCACAGCGAGACCACGAGCCCAGGGACGCCCCCACCGGGCCCCACTGGCTGGGGGCCGGGGAGCGACGCAGGGGGCCCCGGGCCGCGGCAGGGACAGACCTCGAGTGCGATGAAGCTCTGCACGGCGTTGGTCCGGTCCAGGCAGTCGAGGCAGTTCATGCGCAGGGTGCCTTTCTGAAAACTTGGGGGACGGCGAGACGTCAGCGGTGACAGGTCGTGTTTGGGGCAGCAGCCACGGCGGGAGCACGTGTCTGACAGGAGACCCCGCCAACGGCGCGTGCCCCTCCTTAGCAGCTCGCGGGGACCCCGTCTTTGTCCCGGCGGAGCCCGGCACTGCTGGGTGGCAGGCACACCCCAGGGCACATGCTCGGCCGCCCGGGCACCGGGGGCCCTGGAAACACAGTCCCCTCCCGCAGGCGACTGCCCTGGAGTCACATTTTTGAAAGTCGCCGTGGACACCCAGGGAACTGGACCACAGGCACGCACGCAGACGCCGGGCCGCTGCTCCTGGGGGAGGTCTGGGCCAGGCCCCCGCGAGCCGCTGGTCCCACTTTCCCATCCACCGATCGACCCAGAACCTCGCCGGTGGGCGCTTCTGTTCCAAGACACCTCACTGAGCACGTGCTGCTCCCTCGTTAACACTGAACTTGCCGCCAAGGGCACCCCCTCTCGCTCACATCTTCTCCGTCGAGGCATGCCCCGCCCTCCCCGCGCTGAGGGTCCCTTGACAGCCCCCACCGCTGCACTGGGGGCTGCTCTGGACAGAGAAACTGCCCACAAAATGCACGAAACGCATGAAGACGCGGCACTGAGGTAGCAAGAGGGGCACCGGCGGCGGCGGCAGAGAGCTGAGCAGACCGGCAGAGCCCGCTGAGGACGGGCGCCCTGGGCGACGGAGCTGTCTCCGTTCTGAGCGCGTCTGAGAACGCGCTGTGAGTGTGGATTTGGGGCCACGGACAAACTTTCGTGAGCAGGCACCATGGCGAACACAGAACCTGGGGGTGAGGCGGCGCGACCGCGTTGCGATGCGCAGACGCTGGGTCTCCTTTTCCTGCCGAGCTCCGGGCAGGGGAACGAGCACCCCGGCTTTACCACGCGATGGGGATGACGCCGGCGGCTCCCCTCCACCCTCAGGGGTTTTTGTCATGGCCTGGACAAAGTTACGTGGTTACCGTGGCTCTACGTGGCAACCCAGGCCCCTTGACTGGGCCCCCTAGCATGCCTCACTGCCTGCTCACACAATTCAACAGCACATCTGACCGTGGGAGGGAACGGAGGGGCCGGAACTGGAGACGGCTCCGTCCCCGAGCCTGCGCCCCTCGCCAGTGGCAGGGCGCCCCAGTCCGCCCGCGGCCCGGCCCCAGCCCGGCCCCGCCCGGAGACTCACCGTGGACTCACCCCCTCGCCCTTGGTGAACACGTCGAAGTCATCCCAGTGGAGCTGCAGCTGGGGCCTCAGGAGGTTCTCCAACTTCTCGAGCTTCCCGCCTTTGGCAAACTGGTGGAAGTCAAAGTTGATCATAGGCGTGTCGCCGGCGTGGCAGGAAGCCCAGAGCAACTTCTGGAAGGGGAGAGGGGGAGCGTGGCAGGGGACCAGGGAGGCAGGACAGGGACAGCAAACCTCTCGCCGCTGCAGTCGGAGTGGCCGGACCCACCGCTCGGTGGAGCCCACGGTCCAGCCTCACGGCGCACGGTGGCCCGAGTGGGTCACCAGCCCCGACCCCGAAAGGCTGGCACGGAGCAAACGCACGGGCCCACGAGGAGCATCTTGCCTGCAGAGAGGGTCCAGCCTGGGCAGAAGACGGCCAGGGCAGGTGGGGCTCGCCCGGGAAGCCCCCAGCCCCGCTGCAGCATTGCCCTCCCGCCGCAGGGCTCTCCCAGGTGCTGGTGAGGGGAGGGGCTCTGTGTCCTCGGGCACCGAGTGCCGCGGGCCCCTGAGGCGCGAGGGCCGAGCAGCAGGCTGGGAGCTCGTAACCCAGCTCTCCGTTGCCTGGTGACCAGTCCCATCCAGACAAGCTCAAGCCTCCAGGCCGGGCTGAGCCTCCCCGGAGGGCCTCTGGGTGCTCCTGGCAGAGGCGACCTGGCAGCCTTCCCAGAGGCCCGGCTCAGGCCCCGCCCCCTGCCCCGCCCCACCCACCCCCACGGCCTGGGCTCAGACCAGCCCAGAGCGTCTAATGACTCTGAATGACTCTGAAGGACTGGAAGGACTTCCGGCTGCCTGGCCCCATGACTCAAAGCACCCTGTGCGCAAACCGATGCCCGGGGGCCACCATCCGTCCGGAGAGTCCTGCTCTGAAAATCGAGTCCACTGAACTAAACAGCGAACTAAACAGCGTGTTGCTTCGTGGCTTTACGCTCTGGAGTGAGCCCCTCGTCCCCCTGGGCCCCGATGGCGGCAGGCAGGCGTGGGGACCTCGGCATTACAGGGCTGACGGGCGGCGGCGGGAGCCGGCTCCACCTGACACCCGGTCGGGCCTCCTGCCTCCTCCCTGCCCAGCAGCCTGCCCTCCCCGGCCTGCGCCGTGGGGCCGCTGTGTCCCCAGCCCCTCTTGTGACAGAAGAGCCCGTGGGCGCAGGAGGCACTTGCCGCAGCTGACAGGTGCTGGGGACACCCCTTCCCTGTATCTCAAGGCATGAAGGGAAGAGGGATTCTTGAGGTTTTTCTTTCCTTGCTTCCCCCCTTTTTCTTTTCCTTACAAGAAGCTGCCAAGATACGGGTGGAAGGGAGATATTTCGCAATCGCGTTGCCAGTAGCAACAACCAAACAGGAAAAGCAGGTCTGGCCAAATGGAGAGTCTGCTCCACGTCCAGGCTTTCCTGGGCAGAGTGAAGTGGGCACCTGGCGGGGTTCAGCTCGCCAGGGGCCAGGGGTCAGGGGTCAGGGGGACAGCGAACTCCACTGCTCCTGAGGTGAGGTCTGACTTTGAACTCTCCATCGGGGGCGTCCCTGGTCTGGAAACGGCCAGAGGGCTTTTCTCCATTCAGTGGGGGCCGTGGGGGATTGGACAAGGGCTGGGGAGGCCCCTTCTGGAGCTTGTCCCTGACGCAGAGGACTGGACACAGACAGGAGCTCAGGGAACAGTAGGGACCAGGGCGGCGGCAGCCAGAGGGGAAGCGGGAAGAGGGGCTCTTACTCCAACTGCTTCCTCCCTGGCCCAGGGTTTCTCCCCACAGGCCCCCGAGCCCAGGCCGGGGAGCCCCAGGGAGCCCACGGGCACAGGAGGCCGAGCCAGGGACGGCCCAAACAAGGATGGAAGGATGGAGGGCTCCAGGCTGGCAGGCGGGAATCGTGCAAGTTGCTTGTCTTAAACCCGCCGGGGGCTCTGAAGGGCCACTTGTGGCACAGTGCCCTGCGGGGGCTCGTGCGAGCTGCCAGGAGGGGCGGCCGGCAGCTGGCCAGAGCAAGAAGATGGGGGGCTCGGGCTTCTGAGCAGGTCAGGGGTGCGTGGGGGGGGAAGCCCAAAGGTTCGTGCACACGCGTGTGAGTGTGTGTGCACGCCCACCCAGCGGGAGGCTCTGCAGGAAATGCAGCCAGAGATGAAGGCGACCTGTTTTGACTCTGAGCAAATTCTCCCGGCCATCGGGTCAGGAGCCCAAATCGCCTGGTGCTGGAGCTCTGGTGAGATCTGCAATGTGGTTTGCAGCCACCCTCCCCACCCCCTGCCCCGCCAGGGAGCCCGCCTCCAGAGAGCAGGGACCCCAGCTGCCCCCCCCACCCTGACCCTGACCCTGTCCACCCCACGCCCACGCCCTGCGTGCTTACCTTGAAGGCTCTGTTGAGTACCTCCTCACCACCCCTGCTCCCCAGCAGGTTCACGACCACTTGCTGCCCATACTGCTCCTTCAGCAGGACCATATGCCTGCAACAGAGCAGGGCCGCACGGTGACCCCGCGCCCTCAGGACACAGACGGCCCCGCCTGCGGGGGGAGAGCGGGTAGAAAGGGCTCGCCGGGCACTCGGTTCCGGTGCAAGCCTCCGCATGAAGGGCTCCGGCCAAGAATAAATAAACTGCCCTGGCTGGTGTGACTCAGCGGATTGAGTGCCAGCCTGTGAAGCACAGGGTCGCCGGTTCGATTCCCGGTCAGGGCACATGCCTGGGTTGCAGGCCAGGTCCCCCTGTAGGGGTGCGTGAGAGGCAACCACATACTGATGTTTTTTTCTCTCTGTCTCCCTTTCTAAAAATAAAAGAATAAAATCTTTAAAAAATAAAAGGAATAAATAAACCCAGCGCACCAGAGGAAGGACTTTCTATGAAGCACCCCATCGCATCTAGGACAGCTGGCTTGGCCTCATTTGGACGGAGCCTTCGAAACGCCACGGGCGTATCTGTGACACCGCTCCGCCCCACTGGGCACACCGTGGGTCCCGAGAACGAGAGCCCGGGAGCGCAGCGGGCCGCCCCGGGGCCCGACGGTTATCTGAGTGCTGCTGTTTATGAGGTTTAACCCAACTGGGCCGGCACAGCAACATTTCGGTCTTCAGGAAAGTTACTGGCACAGCAGAGACCATTTTAAAAATATCCATGTTGAAATATTAGGGGGAGGTTATAATATCTCTTATCACCAACTTCTGAAAAGTAATTTTACAATGTTAATGATAGAAATGTTTAAATGTCGTATTCATAAAAGCATAGGAAAAGGAGGCAATGTAAAAAGCAGACAGAAAACTAATTTAATAGGGACCATTTTTTACACCTAAATACGGAAAAAAGACCAGAAGATAACATACTGTCATGTTAAAAGGGATGGGATTTTTATGTCATTTCAATTTTTTTCTTCTTTAAACAGTTCATTATTTTCTAAATTTCTGCAATGTTTATTTTATCAAGAAATTAAAAAAATTATGACCAAGAAGACTTTGTAACAAATCCTCACCAGAGGGCAGTTTTTTCATTGCTTTTGGGGAGAGGAAGGGAGAGAGAAACATGGATGTGAGAGAGAGACACTGACTGCCTGCCCCCCGTGCGAGCCCCCTCACCCCGGGAACCGGACCTGCAACCCTTCAGTTACAGGACAACGCGCCAGCCCGCTGGGCCCCACCGGCCAGGGCCTGGTCATCCCCCGCTAGAGCAGAGACACTCTCTCACTACCTCTGGGGGGCAGCACTGGGCAGAAGGACAGGATTCGGAAGTGGGCAGTTTGCGCTTCTGGGCTGACCAGTTGAGGACGCCTGCCTGTGTGTGGACGGCCTTCCCCGGAGCAGTGCTCCGGGCAGCCCTGCCCTCCCCACAGTCCCTCCGGGGGAGACGGAGGGACGGGCGAGATCGGGGGACTCAGGGGCTCCGGCAGGCTGCGCTCCATCTCCAGGGAGCTCCGGCAGCCCAGGGTGAGGCTGCCAGAAAAAAAAACAGAACATGCACAGCCTGGCCCTTCCGCCTGCTCTGTGGGGTCTGCCTGCCCAGGGAAGGGGCGTCCTGACCTGAGGCCTGGCGCGTGGACCCAACAGCAGGCTCCGCTCTGGAGGGACGCCTGAGCTGCCCGGCACTGAGACGGCAGCCTTGACTGGGGGGTGGAATGTGAGGAAGCCCACTGCGGCCACGCACCCGAGCCGAGACCGAGCCACAGCGCAGTGTATCAGAACCAAGGCTGATGTCCGACGCCCCCCTGACCGAGGCCGGCATGCACACCCCCGCTGGCTCCAAACTCCAAGGCTCCGAAAGAAACACCACAACTCGTTGTCACTCACGCCACCAGCCCCAAACAGCCCTGGTCACAAGTGGTCCCCGCTCTGAGCCAGTCCCGTCATCTGCACCACGAAGCTAAGTAATCCTCCTCCCGTGAAGGACGGGCACGAGGACTAACAAGGTGGGGGACCGTGACAAGTCCGGTGCTGTCACGTGGGAGTTGGTTCTCCTTTCGATTTATTGATAAATTGAAATATTGATTATTGATAAATCGAAAGACTCATTTCACTGGCTCTAAGGGACAGCGTCTCGGAGTCCACTCCAAGGGCAGCGAGAGTAAGGCTCCCTCCCCCTGGCCTTGGTGGCTCTGCGCACTAGGGTCTTTTTTTTTTTTTTTACACTTTCTACCCAGCTGCTACTGCCACAGGGAGCACCTCGGGAAGCTGGGAGATTTTTGGGACAGTGAGGAGTCACAGTTCCCTCTGGCGCATCCTCCTCCAGCTGGGCATAGCGGAGGGACCGACAGTTAAACCCACGCAAAGGGAGGGCGGGCGGATGGACTGGCTTCACTGTCCCCTGGGGGTGACACGGGGCACCGCCTAGTGGGGGGCTACCACTGTCATCGAACTGCACGACGCTGCAGTCACAGCCCATGGCCTGCTCAAAGCACCCCCTTCCCCCAGCGTGGCAGACAGAGGACAGAGTGACAGTGTGTAACGCAGGGGCCAGTATGACTCTGACAACGAGCACTTCTGTGGGTATCAGAGCTACCCACGGGGAGGGCTCTGGTGCGAGGGCGGGCGGAGGGACTCACTCTGGACCAGACACACCAAAGAACGGAGAGACTCTCTTCACGGCCCTGTGAAGTCCCAGAGACCTGGGGCGACCCTGCAGGGGTGACATGGCCCTGCTCCCTGGGGACCCACAGCGCTCCATCGTGGTCTGCTGGAGACACCCGTGACCTTACTCCCAAACACACACTCCCAAACTGCTCTGCAGTGACAGCAGCCCCGTCCGCAGGGGCCGGAGAGGGCTCAGAGCTGGCCCCGCCTCCCAGCTAGGCGCACACCTGGGAAAGGGGGTGGCTGGAAGCCTGAATCTGAAGCGGTTGCTGCCTGCAAAAGGGCGTGTGGCCTCAGGAAGGCGTATGGTGATTCACAGAGGAGACTGAGTTTGCTCTCCGATTCAGGGAAGAAGTGAGTGTGAAAAAGGAGGGGCTTCTACTCTCAAGCACACACACACTGATTTAAAACCGAGTCTACGGAACGTTCCTAATGTTTTTTTTAATAAAGGTCCCACGGACACGACGGTTCCTGACACAAGCCCAGCACACCCCTTTTCTCTCTTGCTTCCGGCCGACTCAGGAAGGATCTCGTCTCAGCCACATGTTTACCGTTTCCTCCGAACATCTAGCAGAGATCAGTGCCAACTAGGAGAGGGCCGTGTGCACCCTGCGCAGACCACGCGGACAGTGTTCGGGGAGAAAAGGCAGTACCACGTTCTGGATAGGTCACGCATCTCTTCCCAGGAGAAGCCACGGTCGGTCGGTCGGGGCCGTGCTCGCTGGGGCCGGCGGTACCGGTCTGGGGGAGGGGCGGCCACAAACAAGGTTCAAGTCCACGCGGAGCTTCCGGCACAGTGATTAACATACAAGCTCACTTTTTGAAATTTTATGACGGTCTCTAACATAATCTTTAAACTTCGTATTCAGATGAAAAAAGAGACATTTTAGGAAGCTATGAACTCTTCAAGTTCAAATTACGAATAGTTCAGGTTAGCAATGGCTTCTCTTAAGCGAACTGCAAAATACTGCGTTACGATTCCATTTGTGTTTTAAAGCATGAACTATGTATAGGCCAATTCTTCCCTAGAATGATACGTGAAAAAAACTAATAGTGAAACCCCCAGCAGTGGGAATGGAAGTAAAGGGTACTCTTACTTCTCACTTCAGACCTTTCAAGTGTTGACTTTTAAAACCTGTGAATGTTACTTTCTTTAAAAAAAGATTTTACTTATTTTTAGAGAGGGGGAAAGGGAGGGAGAAAGAAACAAAGGGAGAGAAACATTGATGTGTGAGAGCTACATCGTTTGGTTGCCTCTCCCACGCCCCCAGCCAGGGACCTGGCCCATCATCACCCAGGCACGTGCCCTGACCGGGAATCACACTGGCGACCCCTTGGTTCGCAGGCCGGCACTCAATCCAGTGAGCCACACTAGCCAGGGCAAAAAAAACCTATGACTGTTACTTCTCAAATAAAACCAAGTAGCTACAAATAGCCCATTATTTAGATGATCCCTGACTAACCAGGGCGAAGGGATAAAGCTTCGTTGCAGAAGGAACTGATAAGATAATTCCAAGTGTTACCTGCGCATTTACTGCCAAACCTTCAGGGGACCTGAGAGCAGGGGAAAATCTCATTTTTGGAAACTCCCTTTGGCAAAGGAGCGAAGTAAAGGGCACATTTAGATCCAGGGTGAGGGGCCCTCCCCTGCCTGCTGTCCCCCATGCTTCTGTCTGATGGAAGACAGACCCCAACGGAGGACAGGCTGAGCATGGTGTCAGATGCCCTTGACCCCTAAGGAGGAGAGGCTGAGGACAGTGCCAGGGGACCTTACTTGTCGAAAGCCGGGGCGTTCGCTTCCAGGCCTCTGTTGAGTCTCAGATGGTGGGACCCAACCTACAACAAAGAGAAACCACACCAGTGACTCCGGCTGCTCTGCGAACCCAGGAGGTGGTGGTCCCCCCCTGCTCCCCACACACACCCTACAAGCTGCCAGCCAGGCCTCTAGCGGCCCTTTCCCAGGCCCCTCGGAGGCCCCTCCCCGCCCAGGAAGGCCAGGCCTCGAACTCCGGCCCCTGGGCCTAACTCAGGCTCTGCTGCAGCCCAGCCTGAACTGCAGTGCAGACCACGCCACTGGGTCCTTCTGCAGACAGAGGAGAAACTGGGGTGGGGATGGGGGTAAGACCACGAGGCCCACGTCAGAGCCACCAACGCTTCTGTGGTCAGAGGTACAGCCATGCCAACACGGGCCCAGCGTCCTCTACAACAACGGGGCCCTCAGGTGCCCCCCAAAACCTGAGTTATTCACGGCCTGCAAACCACTGTGCCTTACTCTTCAGAACTGGCTGCTGAACACTGGAAGTTTAAAAACAAGGCTGAAACTACATACCGTTCCTGGAGCCAGGGCTCTCTGGACAGACCTGGGACATTTCTAGCACTGAACTGGTTAAGCACAGCGATGGACCGTGATGCGAAGGGTGAATGGGAGCCCACCCACGGACCCGCACCGAGGAGAGCCGGCTGGCGGGGTTCCTGGGTGGGCAGGGAGGTGGCTGGGTGGGCGGACGGTAGGCGGGTGGACGGAGCGGACGGAGGGCTCTTCCCTAGAGAAGGAGGACACCGCCTGACGGGTGCGGAGGGGGTGGTGGGGAGTCACCATCTTACAGCCACGACAGTCAACAGTCGCCCAGTGAAAGCCCCGCGTCAGCCACAACTGCTGGGGAGGGTGGGATGCCGGCTGGGCCTCGGAGCGCCCCCCACAGGACGCTCACTGGTTGACGAGCCAAAGGCACTCACTGTAAGCAAAGGCACTGAGTAGCACCTTGCCCGGGGGATCACAATTCCCACCACTAACGAGGGGCAGGTGGACACCCCGAGAAGGACACGGCGTCAGGGATCGAGAGCCTGAACCTGACCGTGACGAAACACCAAGGAACGCCAGGATGAAGCACGTTTACTTTAAGGAAAAAGGCAGCCAGTGTTCCCAAAAAGGTTGGTGTCACCCGAGACAGAAGGCAGAGGAAGTGACGGGGAGACTCCAGGAGACCGGAGAGGTGACGACTAACTGTGAGGTCATCCCGGCCAGGGGCGGGGCGGGTGGTGCTGAGACCGGCATCTCGGAGAGGACTGACTAATCTGGGGTGTGGGCCGCGGGGCAGATGGAGGAGTTGTGCCGACGTCACCTGGTCTGCACCTGTCCCTAGACTTCAGTAACTAAGAGAGGGTCTCTGCTCTTAGGAGAAATGGCCCAACGGGACGACACGTGGAGAGACCAGGTACGCAACCTCCTCTCGGCGGCTCAGAACGTGACAGCACGTGTGTGTGGCGAGACGGTGACCCTCAGTGACCCAGGTGAAGGACACAGCTGTTCTCGCTGCTGCTCTGCCAGCTTGGCTGCAGGTCTGAGGCTATTTCAAGACGGTTTCTTAACACGCCCTGCCCAGGGCTGTCGTCACCGAGGGCCACAGAAATGGTGCCACTGGCCTCACCCGCAGGGCCAGACGCAGCTGCTCTGAACACGCACTGAGTGTCACCCAGCAGCGCTCCGCTCCACAGGGGACACAGCCACCCCTCTCCCCACCGGAGGAAAGGGCCCGCCTGGAAAGCCAGCTTCCCAGCAGCAGACCCGGAGAGGGGAGTCCGGGCCTGGGTTGGCCGGTCTGGGTGAGTCTACAAATGAAGCCCCGGATCCCTGTCGGCCCCGAGAAACCCTGGGAGGTTTCGAAGGCTGCTCCACGGAAAGGCCCTCGTGGGGTGACTGCGTTCGCTCGGCCCCGCTCTCCGGGGGCCGTCCACACCTGGCTGAGGACACGGAGCTCCCCAATTTGATTCCAAAATCCCTCCCCAGCCGGGGCCGGGAGGACGGCGGGGCCCGGCACTCCCAGGCCAGGCAGCGCCCACCCATCTGTTTATCTGGATTCCCGTGGAAACCGGGCCTGCACTCCTCGGTGGAATGACTGCCACCCTGAGAAGGCGTGGCTGCCCCACGTCCGTCTGTCTGTCTGTCAGTCATCCCCAGAAACCTCCCCCTGCTGCAGGGAGACTGCGGCTGTTCTTGGAGTTGTCCCCACAGGGGGACGCAGTTAAGGGCAGGACAGAAAAGGGGGGCTTGGAGGCCTGGGTTTCAGCTGTGACCACCCTGTTCCTGGACGTGTCCAGCTGTCCCTCCCCAAGTCACAGTCCAATGTTTCTCTGCAAGCAGGAATTTGAGCCTCGGGTGACCCAACCCGGCAGTGTCCAGCCTCTGGGCTCTAAACTCCTCCCACCACAAGAAAAGTGTGTCACCAGCCACGCACGGAGCCAGTGAACACAGCCCGACGACACCCACGTCTGCACGGCAGCGGGTGCTGCCGTAGAAAGGCCGGGGAGAGGAAGGGGGTGGGCCCTGAATTCCCTGCCCTGGACGCCTCCCCACAAGGGGAACGCCAAGGGGGGACCCAGAAACACACCTCCCGGCTTCCATCAAGTCCGCCTGACAAGTGCAAACCCACCAGGTGGAGACCGTGCCCCTGCCAGGAGCAAGCAGCGCAGAGCAGGGCAGGATGCCGCGGCGGCAGCGGTGGGACTCGGGGCCGGGCACCAGCCGGGAAGCAGCAGCCCGGCCGCCTCCCCCACCCTGTCCCCCCCCGCCCCCCGTGCACCCTGACACTGACCCGCATCGGTCCTCTCCGGTGTCACGTAGCTCCGAGGCCGCGGTGTGTCGGCAGCCCCGAGGGGGCGGCGCTCCCGTCAGCACCGGCACACGGGAACCGAGTGAGATGCCCTGTGTCGTCCCCCTCCTCCTCCTTCACCCACCCTCCTCCCGCGGCCGGGTGGACACATGGACAGCCACTCCCCTCTGAAGTCATCCCTTCACTCCTTCAGACCACAGACCTGGGGACGGCGGCCACGGGAGTGACCGCAGACTCTGGGACGCCTGGCTGGGAGTCGGCCGGAGTCCACCCCGGCCGTTCAGAGAGCCCCACGACCACAAAGGGCGCTTGGGACTCTCTCCAGTCAGCCCACCGTGCGCATGCCCCTCCCCAACCCCACGTCCAGGAGCAATGAGCTGCCGGCTTGAAACTGGCCGCGATGGGCGGGTTTACACCACAGCAATGGGCAAGGGCTGCCCATCGAACTTCTCGCCCTGGGTCTCAAGCAAGCTGGTTTACCGGCATGCGCCTGCACGGCCCCAAGCCTTCCTGAGCGTGGCAGCCACCCAGGGGATTGCAGAAAGTACGCGAGCCTGGCTCCCACCCCAACACTGCGGTGTAATCGGGGGTCATGCAGCCTGGGCGTCGGGAGCTTTAACGTTGCCCAGGTGACCCTGATGTGCGGCGAGGTTTGGGCACCGCTCCTCTGGTGGGTCCTGGGCAGGGAAGCGTAACCTCCTCAGCAGAACACGCAAGCCCGTCTTGACCCGGCCCTCGCCTGCCTGTCCCATCCCCTCTCCCGCCAGGCCCCGTGCCTAGGGCTGCAGGCAGCCAGCCCAGAACACGCCCCTCGTCCGCCAGGAGCTAAGCAGCCACAACACCTGCACCCACGGCTCCCTCGGCGAGGCCCTCTCTCCTGGCCCGGTGACTCTGCCCCAGCCTTCCCGAGTAGGCTCAGACTCTGCCCCCCTCGGCCTGGGTGATTTTAATTTTTTCATTTTTTAACCTCACCGAAGACCTTTATTTCCCACTGCTTTTTTGAAGAGACAGGAAGAGAAGAGGAGAAACATCAATGCCAGAGAGAAGCATCGATCGGTTGCCTCCTGTACATGCCTTGACCAGGACTCGAACCCACAACCTTTCAGCTATGGGACAATGCTCAGATCCACTGTGCTGCACGGGCCAGGGCTCTTCACTGCTTGAAACCGTGGTTCTACAAGCCATCATCTTACACATGGGAGTAAAGGACGGTGCAAGCGCACAAACCAGCACATACAGCGCCCGGCACCCAAGGGCTCAGTGAACAGCGTTTGACCGGGGAGGAGGCTGCAGGCTAGGTGGGAGCGGCAGGGACGCGGTCGGCTCGGCCTCCGCCCCCGGCCGGCTTAGCCACGGAGAGCTTCGACACGCAGACCTCACTCCCCCATGCGAGACGGGGGCTGGGGAAGCACGGTCCGTGGGGAGAAGGCTCTCACGTCGTGACAAGGGGGGCAAAGTCTTCGACGGACGAACGGTGTATAAAACACACACTACCACCACCTCTTCCAGGAGGGCGATTAGCTCTGGGGGTAAAATTTCAGCGTGGCTATTTATAAACCGCACAACCTACTGACACAGCCAGGATGCAAGTATTCCCGGGCCACGGCTGCTGGGGGTGGCCTTGGCATCCAGGAGTTTCTGGTGAAGCCCTGTTCCCGTGAAAACTCGAAAATGAGGCGTCGCCCCACCATCCTCTCTGCCCACCCCTCTCCCCCACCTGCCCCCCTCCCCACGAGGCTCAGGTTCCCTGGGGCAGCCCCAAGAGGGGGCCGCACGGCAACCTAAAAGGCAAGCTTTCCACCCCAAAATATTCTCACGTTTACTACAACCTAAATGAGGAAAGAAAAGGACAAGTTCAAAAAGGAGAAAGACAACCAGAATCAATCTGTGAGCTTGGGGTTCACACAGTTCAGTGAAAGGGGCCATGGCCCCACCCCCAGCAGCCCTGCTGATCCCCTGTGGAGGCAGCCTAATTTCTCCCTGGTGATGGGTGGTATTTAGATGGTACACGTGGGGGTGTTAGACCCAAAAGTTAGTAAATCCTTAATAAGGTTAATGAACACAAAGACTTTGTTTTTTAATCCTCACCTGAGAACATTTTTTCATTGCTTTTAGAGATGGAGGGAGGGAGAGAGAGAAACATCGATGCAAGAGGGAAGCATCGATTGCTTGCCTTCCTGCACACACCCGAACTGGGAATCGCATGCCCAGGTCGGGGACTGAACCTGCAACCTAGGCATGCGCCCTGACTGGGAATCGAACCTGCGACCTTTCTGTTATGGGACGACACTCCAACGAACTAAGCCACACCAGCCAGGGCACAGAGCCTTTTGAAGCATATGTTGAGGGAACCGTGGGGGCTCTGGAGAAGCAGTGTCAGGGTCTGAACGATGCCACAGCTGCCGAACAGCGGGACACCCAGGCCCACCGACACGTCAGATGGTGGGCCGGCCGGCTGCTCCACGGCAGGGCCAGGCTGCGTCAAGGGAGGGGCTACCGGAGATCAGCCTCAAAGAGGGCACGACAGGTGAGTGTTGCTCTGTTTTCAGAAGAGGGCAACCAGGACATGGAGGGTCCTAGAAGTACGACTGAGCACGGCCAAGGAGCTGCAAGGTCCGGAGAGCCAGACCCGCTCTGGGGCTGCATAACCCAGATGCAGACAGGCACGCTGCAGGGGGAACGCCCTCACCCCAGAGCGTGGCCTTGCGCTCCGCCCTCAGCTCCTGCGAGCGGGACCCCCGCCTGGGGGCAATGGACGCGTTGCAGAGCGTCCTTCCCAAATCCTAAGACTCTGTCGTGACCGTCCCCCCCCAATCTGTCATTTCCTAACGTGGCCCCCTCCTTTCCTTTTGCACTCCGCTCATTGGATCTTTGCTTTTTATTCTTCTAAGTGCGGAGCTCCAGAAGTGTCAGAAGGAAGACTCCAAATCTAAAGAAATTAAGTTTCAAGCCCTGGCAGGTATAGCTCAGTGGATTGAGCGCAGGCTGCGAACCAAAGTGTCGCAGGTTCGATTCCCAGTCAGGGCACATGCCTGGGTTGCAGGCCACGGCCCCCAGCAACCACACATTGATGTTTCTCTCTCTCTCTCTCTTTCTCCCTCCCTTCCCTCTCTAAAAATAAATAAATAAAATCTTAAAAAAAAAGAAATTAAGTTTCAAACTCTGCCTTGGACGGTCCAGAGGAGGCCACTCTGTGGAGACGGAAGGTGGACAAGCAGCCACTGAGGCCCCAGGGAGAGCGGGGAGGGCACGGGCTGTCAGCCGCGGGGACAGTGTTCTGACATTAATTCCAGCGGTGGCCACACAACTGGGTCAGTGCATGGGATCCACGGACGCTTTCCGTGAGTGAAGTATAAGTGTGTGAGTTATGTCTCAATGAGGGCCCTTAAAACACACACACGTACACACACACACACACAGACACACTCTCTTCTGGGATGCGCCCAGAGGAATTTTCCGTGACATGACCGTCCTGGGGAGGGCTTCTCTCTGCCACCGCCGAAGGCCGCCAGCCGTCTGCACGCAGCCCAGGGCACTGCTTTCCGGGGCAGAGACGGAATGTTCGTGAAGCTGTCTCCCCGCCCACAGAACGCAGGGCCCAGACGAGACACTCGTCCGTCTGCCCTGCTCTAATAGCTGACACGCCTCATCACCACGTCTGTCGGTGGCAGGGCAGGGCGGTGACAGACACGAGGACAATGCAGCTATGGTGGCTCGGGGTGACGTCAAGGGCCGGGCAAGAACCAGCCGTGTCAAACACCCCCAGGAGCCTGGGGGGCGGCCCTGAGCCCCTTCCGTCAGCAGCTGGGGACGCACCTGCTGTCACACCGAGCCCGGAGTAACTACCGCCCAGGCGACGGAGGCCGGGCAGAGCGGTGTGCCAAGCACAGCACGTCCCCTCCGGCCAGGGAGGAAGACCCGGCCTTGGAGCTGAGGAAGCTCAAGCCCACTCGGCCGCGCCCCCCACCCCAGGAACTCCGTGAATGAGGCTGTGCCGTTCCACTGACAACAACAAGTGTGTTCTTGGAGCGCAGCACCCCCCCCCCCCCGCCGCAACCCGCCCACCAACCCCTCCCAGGAGACCAGCCGCCGCCGAATGCCTCTGGCGCTGGCCAGAGCTGTTTTGGACGGCACGGGGTATTTTTAGAAATCATGGGAAAGCTCTGTGCAATTCTCACGTGGCCCCATGACAGGCACCTCCGCACGCCAGACCTGCCCCACCCCGGCCTCACAAAGCCAAAGCCGTCCGGGACAGCCGCTGTCTCAAAAACCCACCTTCAACCACGCTCTCGACAGACCGAAGCTGGGTCTAACTTCAGTGAGGCCGTTCGATCGGGCTACGTGGTTCGCTGCCAGCCAAGACCTCCCCCTTCAGCCTCCACAGCAGGGAGCTCAGGATTGGAGAGTCACACACGATGTGTGCATTTCTGCACACAGACACCACACACACACACACACACACTCAGGCTTGCATGTGTCCTTTGACGGCTCAGCTCAATCCGCATGGGCTGACGGAGAAGACCAGAAACCGTGCCGGGAAAGATAACAGAGTCCAAAGCAGCCGCCACAGGCGCCCAGACGAGGCGGCAGGGGGAGCGGCAACGACACACACAGAGAGGCGCTTCTTTCTTGTCACCTACCTGCAGCCCTGGCTGCTCCCAAAACAGCGGGACGGAGCCTCTGATCTGGACGAAGGACGACACGCCGTCATCCATGTAGATCGTCTGCACCACAAGGAAACAGAAAGGAGAGTCTTCTTCAGTGAAACCCAAGGTCCTGGGCCGGTAACGGGATCCGGCCGCCTGAGACCCGACACCGGAATGAAGGGCAGACAGCGGACTTCGGCCCGGGCGGGCTCCTGGCCCCCGCGGGGCCGCCGGCTGCCCAAGCCCCAGGCCGGCCCGCGCACTTGCGGGCATGCTGGCTGCTGGCTGGCCTCAGGGCCTGGAGCCGGCAGGGCTGCCGGGGTCCAGGCAGCCGGCAGGGAACTCCCTCCACCTTGCGGAGCTCCCTGAAAGGCCCAGCAAAGCCTGCCACCCCGTTTTAGGACAAGCAGGGGAGTGCCAGGGTTTAACCCCGATCTTCCTCAGAACCCTGCATTCAGGGGCTGTGGGAAAAGGGCTGAAAGGATGAACCAGATGAGCCACAGCCAAAGGTGCCACCGAGGGCACTTGTCAGCCCTGTACTTGATGATATGAGCTGAGGCTGTACTTGAACTTGCAGCTGGTCCTGGCCCTAGGCCACTGTGTCCTTTAAACCTGCCACTCACTGAGTCAACACACAGAACTCGGCTGCCACAGGCTCCCGGTGTGACACCACCTGAGCAGACACAGGTGATACTTACACGTTAGAGACCATGTCTCCACCCCCCTGCACCCCCACCCCCGTTAATCCAGAAGGAACCGACCCCTCGTCTGCCTGCAGGCTGCCCCTGGCACGGCCGGCCGCGTGAGGGAGTCTGAAAGGGACACAAAGTACAGGCCCGAGCATCACGAGGGGGGCCGTGGCCGTTCTCAGATGCACTGCCCTTTTTATCTGAGTAACTCTACCCTGGCCTGGCAGGGCCGGCCCGGGCGCCGCCGCTGGTCCTTTCCACTCCTCACCAGCCCGCTCCCTCGCCGGGTAGCTTTCCACCGGCTAGAGTGTGCTCAGGTCGCCCATGCATTAGTAATCCCGCGGCGGAGGGCTCCTGGGCGGCAGGGAGCACACGAGCCGGGTGAGCGGCACTGCGGGGCTGACATTCCATCCCCGGCTCTCCGGAGGGGAAGGGCACTGGGCTGAGAACGTGCTGCCTGCGTCTCCATGCCCACTGCCGGCCAACTGGTCTCCCACCCTCCACCGTTCTGCTGACAGCGACGTTGCAGGCGGCTGCTTCAGCGGCTGCAGGCAGGGCCGGCCCCCGAGCCCCCGGGAGGGACTGCGGAGGAGGAAAGCAGCTCAGCCGGCCCTTCTCCAGAGGACGACTCTTCACGGTGCCCAGGACCCGATCTCAGCTGGGGGACAGTCACCCTTTACTTGAAGGAGCCCATGGTGACAACTCGTCAGCCTGCGTCAGCCCCCGAGCCCCGTGAGCAGGAACTTGTGGGGGACCCGCGTCAGAGGACCCCACCCCGGGGGCGAGAAGAACCGCCTCCCGATGCCGATGTCTCCATTCCTCCCTCCCACACGAGAACATTTCAGTTCCGTGTCCCATCCTCTCCGTAGGAGGTCACCTTCTCGGCCCCGAGGTGACAGTTCAAAGGCAATCCCCAGACACCCCTGACGGAATCTCAGTACTTCCCCTCTGGGTGAAGAACGGGGGTTTAACCACCGAAAGACTGGACGCCCCGCAGCTGAGATTTTAACCGAGGGCCCCTGGGGAAGGGGGCAGCCAGGGGGCAGGAGGGTCAGGGAAAGCAGGTCGGCATGCGGGCCCTGGGGTGACAGCAGCATGGGCCCCACTCCCGTGGGCCCCGCAGGATGACTCTGAGAACATTCCTTCACCTCTTTCAGCCTCAGCTTCCCCCTCTGTCACCTGCTCACAGAGGGAAGAGTCACGAGGGAGTGTGAGTTCTCCCTGCCAGGCAAGCGCTGCCCATGAGCATGGAGAAGGCCCCGCAGAGGACAGCGAGGGGCTGGGCAGGGGTCGCAGCACCAGGGGACAGAGTTTGGGCCGCGGGAAGAGGGGCGTGGGACGGGGCAGAGAGGGGGCTGGAGGGGGAGGCAGAGCAGCCGTGATTCAGGGAGAAGGGCGTCCGCCGTGGCTGTGCGGTGGCCACACCAGGCCCGGGACCCCCTGGGCCCGGCCTCTCTGAGCGGCCCTCTCACAGGGCACTGGGAGCCGAGTCCCAGTGGCCACAAAGAGAAAAGGACAAGGCAGTAAGACTCAAGGCTGGGCATACGCACTCGTATCCAAGAGGCTTGTTGCTGAACCTCTATTTCCAGACAGGGTGTTTACAGTTCTTTCCAAGCCTGCATTCCCGGGGGGACCCACAGAGCCACCCTAACCTCCCTGGATTCATCAGGGGCCTCATCTGCAGCAGCCCGATATCCACCTGGCGTTTCCCTGCGGAAGGTGGACGGGGCGGGGGGGGGGGGGGCCTCAGAGGTTTTGCTTTTCTGCCTGGTGCGTGAGTCACGGCTGCAGAACAAGCCCACCAGGTCTGACTCAAGTCTTCCTCCGGGGAAGACTGAGATGCGCACGTGCACACACAACACAAACGCTCACACACGTGTGCATGTACACACACAAAACACCTCCCACACCCACATCACGCGCTCACACAGCTTGCCTCGGGGGAGGAAAGCCGTCCTCCGTCAGGGACGAGGCTCCCACGAGGCAGAGCGGGCGGTGTCGGAAGCCGGTCCCTCTGCCCTCCCTGAGTGACGCCTTCAGGAGGAGCTCAGCTGCCACCGGGGAGCCACCTGCCCTTTGTCTAGTCCCCTCGTGTGTTTGAGAAGGTCACCAGCAGGGCAATCTGCCAGCTGCCCTCCTGCAGTTAACACAGGCCTTCTGGGCCCAAACAGCCAAGGGCTTGGCCTGAGGGGTCTCATTTCCAAAGCAGGGGGCCTCCCGGCCAGTGGTCACCTGCAGGCAACCACCAGGAGGGCCCGACCGCCCCAGCCGAGGCTCCTTCCCACTCCAGGTTCAGCACTCATTTCCTCCCAGATGCTGCCTGCCCCCTTGGGCGGGCGGGCGGGCGGGCGAGGACACTGAGTTCCAAAGGCTGCCGTTTCCTTAAGTGTCGGCTCACGAAGCAGGTGACAGTACGCTGCCTGGAGGCACCACCCCCTCTGCCCACTGAGCCCCTCCGCCTGAGGCCTCAGGAGGCCCAGGCACAGTGGGCTCTCTCCACCAGCAACGCCCTCCAGGGGGCGCCCTGGAACCTATGACGCCGCCCCAACCCGGGGCTCACAACCGCGGAGGCTGCTGCGCCAGGTGGAGCAGGATGGGCCGGCCCCAGTGGCCCCATCGGACCCCCCGCGGCCTGGACGAGCGCACTGGGGGCAGGGCCACAGGCGGGTTTCCCTCACGCTCCCTGGACTGGCGGGCTGAGCTGAGCGTGCTCCCAAGGCTCCAGTCCCTGGCTTTTCCTGAGAAGCGCCTTCAGGGCAGATGGCTGGGAGGGAGGCCCACACAGCTGCCACTCGGCAGGAACGTGGTTAAACATGTATTCCACTTAGAGACTTCGGTGCTTAAAAACAAAACCACTCAGATCCACCAAAGCGCCTCTGCTGCTACAAAGTGCCTGACCGAACCACGCCAGGATCCCAGATGGGGCGCGAGCGGCGCTCTCACACGGTGAGAGGACAGTGCACCCACGGCAGATGCCACTGGGGCGGGCTTTGGGGAGGGGCCGACCCCCAGCAGGCTGCGCTGGGTACACGGGCACCAGCCACGCCCACTGTCAGGACGTTTTCCCGCTCCGCCAGCTCTACTCCGGCTCCCCCTCCCACGCACTCCCCACCTGGCAGCCCCCACGCCCCCCCAGGGCCGGCCCCGCCCTGCCCGCCAGTGCTCGGCGGCCTCTCCCTTGCCCCGGCTGTGGGAGGCACCCCAGAGGACGAGGATGAGGACGCCGCCAGGGCCAGCTCTCTGTCTTGCTCCTGCGGCATCCCCGCCAGCAAGCTCACGAACTCAGCCGAAAGACCCCGGGTTGGCGCCCACGTGGCCAAACAGGACGCCCCTGCAACCAGGTCTAGGGAGCTGAATCCTCCCCTCCCCCAGGAGGCACCTTCTTCCCCCAGGAGGCACCTTCTTCCCCCACGGGCCCGGACGGGCTCGCTGTCTGGGGGCTATCCGATGGCACTTGTCACCCGGGACCCTGCCGCCCACAGCAGAGCAGGTGGGGAGGTGCGAGAACAAAGCAAGTCCTTTTCATCACGGAGACTTTACCGGGTGGGGGGAGCGGCCTCCATGTAGGGACACTGTCTTCTCTCCGTCGGTTTAAAACAGATATTTATCCACCCGCCTCGTCTATCTCCAGGAGCACAGACACTGCGAGGCGTCACAGGCAAGACACGGGCCCTGCTGCTCCTCGGAAGGCCCCCGTTTGGAGGTCCTCCCACTCAGCCTCTGAGTCAAGGGGACCGTCCTCACCTCTGCGCGAACGGAAGCCCGAACAGGCGGCAGCTCACATGCAGCAGCCAGGTGCTCCAATCTGCGCAGCAGTAAATTGCCTACAGCCTCCCGGGCAACCCCTCCCCCAGCCACAGGCGGCAGGAGGGGTCAGAGCAGCAGCCACTGAGTAAACACAGGTGTCTGCGGCTCGACACCCACAGCCCCACGGCACCTGTGCCTTCCCTGGGCGTTCCCTCCTGCTCTATTCCGCCTGCCGGTCCGCACGGGGGCGGCGTTATCCTCCACGTGGCACGTTAGAGAGAAACACGGCCGCTGCGACACGGCGCCTCTAGGAGCTTTAAGGACGGGCTTCGGGAAACCCGTGGGTGAGGGATCCTGCAGAGGGGCGGGTCCCCGGGCGTCGCCGAGAGCAGCATCCACGGAGCAGGCCGATCTCACCGTGCCCGGGTGCTGGGGCTGCCCCTAGGGCGAAGCTTCGGTCGATTTGGAACGGAAGAGGGCTGTTGCCTCACGCTTGCACGTCTCGGGGTTTCTGAATTCTGTCGGTTCACCCACCCTCAGCTGCCCTCCGTGTGACTGCCGCCCGGCGCCATCCTGGCAAAATCCTGCTTCCTTTCGCCGAAAAAGCTCAGGGAGTCCGTAGGTTCCCCGCAGGAAAAGCGGAGGCCGCGTTTGTGGGCGGGACCCCGCCCCCCATTGACTCGCTCTGTCCTCCAATCAGAGTGAGAGGCTGTGCTCACCGGAAACTAACTGCCTCGACTACACCCCCCACCGGAAACACGTGTGCACGGGCAGCAGCCCCTCTGAACCACCGGGGCCAGGACCGGCCTGGGCACTGACCTGCTCCGTCTCCACGAAGTTGGACACGTGGCCATCGTCGTTCACGCCGCGGATGTGGAAGCGCGCACCGGCGCGTTCGCAGCTGATGCGAGAGATGAGGCAGGCCTTGGCCTGCTTGTGCGAGGCGTACACCGTGCGGATGGCCACCACCCCGCAGATGACCTTCAGCAGCCAGTCGCAGCAGCTCACCTGGTGCTGCCGCAGGGGCACGTGCAGCAGCTGGTTCCTGCAAAATGGAGTGGCTCGGGTCACCGCCAGGAAACCATGCCCCAGGGCGGGCCGGGAGGAGGCCCTGCGGGGCGGCATTCGCTCCCAGCGCCAGGCGGGCTCACGCCGCTGCCCGTGGACTCGCAGAGACGCCAGGCAGGCCCACTGCGATAGGCGCAGCAGGGAAGGGCAGGAGTCCTCTCCCGGAGCTGCTGCTTGTCTTTAACTGGGAATCCCATCAGTAAAAACTTAATCACGTTTTATGATTACCTAATAGTAATGAAAACAATCATATTAAATATATCCGTGCTCATTGCAATTCTGTCCATATCCCACGAGGTGAGTTACAAAGCAATCCCAAACACGTAGAAGAGGATGAGGTAGAAAGAAAACACAATGGAAGGTCCACACATCCGGCCGCACTGGGTGGGTGGTCCTGGGTCTCTGGAGACCCCTGATGTAATGACGGACGTGACGGACCACATTTATCAAGTGCATGCTCAGGACGGAGCAATGCGCTTCATCCTTGAAACGACACTATGTGACAGGTATTATCATTAGCCCATTTTACAGATAAAGAAACTGAGGCACAGTGGAGGGAAGTACCCCTTTGTCCAAGGTCACAGGCAGGAAGTGGCGGCATGGAGCTGGGGGGCCGCCCCTCTTGTGATGAGGTCCTACCTGCACAGCTCACCTATGCGTCCACGCCCTCCTCTCCTCCCCGACTCGCTCGGCCTCCCAACACCCCCTCAAGCTCACTGAGAGGGCAAGCGAGACCTGAGGGCTCAGCGGGGGTGCAGGGACACCTGGACACCCCAGGATGCCTCTGGGCTCCACGTGGCACGTGCAGGGGGCCTGAGTGGTGGCATTCCGGGGTCCCTAACAGGCTCCCAGGGAGGCAGAGCTCTCACGCAAGACTCCCTCTTGTGGGCATGAAGCAAATCTACCAGGTTGGCCAAAACGTCTGTTCCGTTTTTCCCGCACAATGGCTCTAGGAGGTGCTTGGTTGTCTTTAACTTCATTGGAAACAATTTTGTGAGACTGTATTGTGACAGCTGTCATATCAGTGTGCGTTTAAAAAAAACTGATCAAAATTGGTGAATTTCTGTGCAGCCATGTCAATACTGGAGATGGAAAAAAACACCCCACACATTTTCAGCATTATTATGCTTTATTATTTCAAGAAAAGTGAAAACGCCACTGAAGCACAAAAAAATCCGCGCAGTGGATGGGGAAGGTGCTGCGACTGATCGAACGTGTGAAAATGGTTTGCGAAGTTTCTTGGTACTGTTGGCATTTCGGCCAAGTAACCCTTCTCTGTGGGGCTGCCTCGTGCCCCCGAAGGTGCTGAGCATCACCCCTGGAAGCCAATGGCAGGAGATAGGCAACACACTCAAAGTACCCACATCAATCAAGCTATTGGTGAAAATGAAAAGTGTGTTGGAAAAACGTAACGGACTTCTTGGCCCGCCCGGGAGACGTTGGCGCCCTGCCCTGAGTCCTCCTCAAAGACATCATCAGCGCTTTCGGTTTCGGGAGGAGTGGGCTGTGAGCCCTGACATCTCAGGCAGCTTCTCGAAGGGGCAGTGATCCCCAGCTCTTAGGCCGGTCTCCCCGAGTGTGTGAGCAAAGCCACTTCCACCTGGGCATGGAGACCCGCTCGGGGAGGGAACACTTCGCCCCCACCCCCGAGCGCTCAGAACCCCAGGGCCTGCCTGCCTGCCTGACAAATGAGGACCGCGGGCGCTGCTTTGCAGAAACACCCCCGTCTCCTGCATCCCTCCCTGCAGCTCGGACAACAGACCAGCCAGAGTCACAGACGCACGAGATCCACACATGGCATGAAGGCCAGGCTCCAACATCCCCGAGCCTTCCAGCCACACAGCCACGGCCCCCACCGGTCACCAGGGTCAGGAGGAGACTTCTGCCCAGCCGACGGCGCTGAGTAAGGCCTGCGTGCAGCCACCCTGGCCCGAGCCTCGGCGGGCAGGCAGGCGGGCGGACGGCTCACGTCCTCGAGGGAGGAGCCAGAAAGGGAGCAGTTCTCTGCCTCTCCTCCCAGGCCTGCCGGGACTGGGAGGCAGTCATCAGCGGAAGCCCATCACCAGTCTGGAAAGACGACTTCACCCCTCCACCAACTCCCCTCATTCACCAGCCACGCGCAGCGTTGACCCCATGTGACTCCAGCCTCGGGCGCAGACGCGGCATCCCCAAATGGCCAGTTAGGGAATCAGACCCATGACCGCTCAGCCGGGGCCGACGACTGTGGTCAGTTCTGTGAGCCCACACACCACACCCGGGGGGACGGCCCAGCGGCCTGGCACCCTTTGGAGTCGCCGCTGCCTCCTCTCAACTGCAGACAGAGCCTGGTGTGGTTTCTCTTTGTTGCAGGTTGGGTCCCACCATCCGAGACCCAACAGAAGCCTGGAAGCCAACGCCACTGCTTTCGACAAGTAAGGTCCCCTGGCACTGTCCTCAGCCTCTCCTCCTTAGGGGTCAAGGGCATCTGACACCATGCTCAGCCTCTCCTCCTTAGTGTCCACCGGGCTCTCCCCTTCCCAAGCCCCTCTGAACCCCCACGTGCTGAATCTCTGCTTTGTCTTTCTGGTTTTGTGCGGCCACAGCCCCGGCAGGAGGCCGCCGGAGAAGGGCAGCTCCACGGGTGGGTGTCCAGAGTCGCTGACACCCCTCTGGCCCTGTGACGTTCCCGAGGAATGTCACAGCCTCAGAGACATCTCCCCTCTGCTCCCTGGGCAGTCCCCGCCGAAAACGGCCCCGGGGCCTTCGCACAAAGCCCCTCTGTCCGTGAGCTCCGCTGCAGGTGCAGCTGCTGAGCTACAGAGACACCACCCCCGGACCACGTCCTTGGAGTTGGGTCCCCGGTGCCTCCACCTCTACCTTGCTGGAAACGCCGAGGCTCGGGCCCCGGTCCCCGGTCCCCGGTCCCCACCTGCTGAGTCAGAGCTGCCTCCTAAAGAGACCAGCAGCAGAGTCACGGGCATTTTACAGTTGGAGCACGGCACCGCCTGGGCAGCTGGAAACCGGGAACCTGAGAAGATCTGGGGGCGGCGATGGAAGGGTGGGTGTAGCCCCGTATCTCCGAGCAGGAGCCAGGGGTTCCTGTGGCGGGAGGGTCCGAATCGCCAAGGAAAGGACATTCCTCCGGTGGTGACCTTGGACTTCCTCTGCCTGGGCGAAGGGACGGGCCCCCAACGCAGGACGTCGATGAGCCACCCGCCCCGTGGCAGGGCTGGGTAGCCGGGACAGCCCGAAGGTGCACACTGCACCTTCTAGGTGTTCTAGGAAGTTCTAGAGTTCTAGGGACACCCCCCAATGCCTAGGGCGCATCAGGACAACTTCCACAGCAGGACTTGTACCACTTCGGCTCCTGACTCGCTTCTCACGCGTCTCCTGGTGCATCTGGGGGGAGCGGCAGCCCTGACGACCCAGGCGGAGCACCGGGACCCATCTCGGCCATTCCCCCGGCGCCCGGAGGGGGCCTCGGGTATTCACACACCCACAGGGCCGTCCACACCTAGCCGTGTCCAGGAGCGCCGGGACGACGCTTCCCAGCAGAAACCCAGCCAGCTCTGTCTGGGCAGCCAGATGTGTCTTATCACAAGACAGCATCACCTTGGCAGGGTGACTCAGTTTCCCCACTTTTGGGGCTGGTTTGGGATCTGCAGCCAGAACGCCTGGTTCAAATTCCCTCCCTGGGTCAAGCCTCAGTCTCCTTATCTGTAAAACGGGGTTCACAGACCCCACCTCGCAGATCCCCATGAGGATAATGAGAATATTGCCCATGGAGAACTTGGGACGTGGGCGCAGTGTCTGCCCACACAATGTGACTGGCACGGCTGGGAAGACGGTGGAGAACGGCGCAGAGGCCCTGGCACCCAGGAGGCGCCCGGTGGATGGTGGCTTTGTGCCCTTTACCTGCGGCCCAGACTGTCTTTCCCGAACCCACCACCTCGAACACCCCCCTGACCCCAGGGCCGGGCACTGTGGAGAGCGAGCCGGCCCAGAGGTGACCCCATGGGCTGGCGCAAAGCGGAGGTCGAGGACACAGGTGCCCACCAGAGCCTGCCTGCCCTGTGACCCGGAGGCAGGAGATGCGGGGGGCGGGGGGGGCCTCACCAAAAGAAGGCGTCCCCCCACTCGTGGCTGTCATCGCCCTGCTTCTGCGCCCGGACGGTGAGGTCGAAGTGGGACCCGTCGCTGGGCCACGAGAAGTAGAAGACGCCCGAGTTGAGGATCTTCCTGAGGGCCGTGAGCCGGTGGTCCTCCTCCCGCACCTCCTCCTGCAGCGGGTAGAAGTCGGTGGCGGTGATTTTGTAGATCTCAGCCTCCGGGATTCTGCCCACAGACGTGCAGCCCGTCACCAAAACCAGGAAGCTCAGGGACGCGTCACCTGTGGTGGTGGGGGGGCAGACAGGGGGGCTTAGGACCACCGTGGGCAGCGCGCAGTGAGGAGCCCAAATGGCCCAGTTCTTGCAGCCACTACGAGACACATCCGCTGGCACCCCAGATTCCCCAACTCAGAGCCTCGGGAACCCCCCCCGCCATGGGGGCCCACGGTCTGAGCTGAGGTCCTGCACGCGGCCAGACAGGCAGCAGCACCTCCTGGGAGCCTGCTGGAAATGCAGGTTCCGGGCCTGCCCACACCTGTGGGCCCAGGCCAGCAGCCCGCACTCTGACACGCCCCAGGCGGGGCTGCCGCCTGTCGGGGGCTGAGGGTCACTGGCCCGGAGCCTTCCCAGCCTGCACCTGCTCCCCATGTCTACTGCCTGAAGCCTCTCAAAGCCACGCTCCCCCGAGTCCCCAGCCACCGCCGGGCTCTGGGCCTGCAGCTGATGCCCGTCCTCCAAGCTCTGTCCCTGGGGTGGCCTCTCAAGCTCACCTGATGATGGCGGACCTCCCTCCTGCACTTACACCCGCCCACGGCTCCCACTCCCCAGGAACGGAAATTGGAGCCCCTCTCGCCAGCCCCCGGCCCCATGGAGGGACGGACACCAGGGGCCTGCAGCCACTGTGGGCTGGGCTCTGCAGCTCCTTGACGTGCCACATGGCCCCTGCCCCAGGGCCTGCACCCACCACACTGCCTCTGCCCTGGATGGCCCCCCGCCCCGCCTGCCCAGCAAGGCCTTCCACAGCCCCTCCTGACCCCACTCACCTGCACCCCCAGGACAGCGCAAGCCCCCCACTGCTAGTCAGGGCCACCCTGCCTGCCTCTCGCCACCCCCACTCCCCGGCACCAGGAAAACCCCCCACCCTGTGGGCTCATCTCAGCAGCACCTCCTCCGAGGAGCCCACCCTGCTCTCCAAAAAAACAGCTGGTTGCCTCTTCTGTGTACATACGGAGTGTACCCCCGGCTAGCCCTTGCCATGTCCCCAGTAGACTGGGGGTCCGCAGGGCAGCACTGCGTGTGGCCAGTGCTGGATGGATTCTCCCAAACAAGCCGCCGGCCCCCTGTGAAAGGTCACCACCCCCTCCGGGGACCCGCCACCCCCCGCACTGCCACCACACTGTCCCCGGAAGTTTTCTGTGCTGCACCCCCCACTGCCCAGCGGGCACCTGGCACACGAGGTGCCGTGTGTGTCGGGCATGCAGCCAGGCTCAGGGGACGGTGGGGACAGTGCCCCGCCCTCCTCTGCTGCAGGAGGACGTTTCAGGGGGCCCGAGAGGCAATGTGGGGGACAGATTAGCCTTCAGGGTGACGTGGGTCTGGCCCACGGGACGCTTCTCCCGCCCCGTTGGCAGGGAGGTCTACTCCCCGTGGCGAGTGGCCGGCGCTGGAGCAATGGCGGTCAGTGCCTTAGAGCTCCGGACACTGATGAAAGACCCCTAGGACGTCCGGTTCCACCGCACCCCCCTCCCCCACCCCTCCTCACACTTAACGGGAAGGGGCGTGCTGCCGGGTCAGGTCACGTCTGCTCTTTATTGTTCTTTTATTATCGATACACAAGTCACCACTTGTGCCATGCCTGCCGCTGTGGCGGGGGCAGGGTCCACCAGGTGGCTGTTAGGGCCATGTCCCGCCCCGCCACCCGTGGCCGGGAGACCACTCTGAAAGCACACCTGAGCTGCAGGCGGCGACAGGAGTCAGGGGCTGGGTGTCTGAGGTCGAACAGGCATCATGCGGGAAGGCAGGCGGATTCATGAGGAGCTCACAGCCTCACACGACCGCCTGTCACACGCCACTCTTCTTGTAGCCCGGGCAGGGACCGACGCCCGCCCGGGCGTCCCGCCCGCCTCACCCGGCGGGCGCAGGGCAGGGGAAGCAGCGTCCAGGGACAGTCCCCTGGGAGCCTGGAGGCTGGCCCTCAGGCCCCAGGCTTCCAGCCCTAAGATTAGGCTCTGCAGGGCGTGGGTGTGAGGAGAGGCGTGGCGTGGAGAATGTTCTTTCCCGTCTCTGCATCCCAGTCCTCCCGGCCTCCGCGTGGGGAACCGGGTGCCTGGCCAGAGTCCCGGGCTGCCTGCCGTGAAGTCTGCGGGGACTTCCTGGGCAGGGTGTGGCCGGGAAGGGGGCGCTGGGAACAGGCGGGCCGAGGAGGCTCTCCAAATGAACAAGAACAAAGGAGACAGCCGCCCCCACGGAGAGCTGGGCGCTGAGCCCTGGGAGAGGCGCGGGTGGGTCAGAGTCACGTGGGGCCCTGGGAGCAGGGCGCTCTGATAACAGCAGTGCTCACGGTCCTGGCCCCCCCCAAACTTCCTCCCAGCTGCCCCTGCGGCGGGGGGTGGGCAGGTGCCGTTTTTGCCCCACTTTGTACAAAGGGAGACACCGGCACAGAGAGGCTCTGAAGGGAGGGGAGGGTCCCGGTGCGAGCCCAGCACCGGGCCGTGGGGCGTTGCTGCCCCTGGGCCCACCCCACCCGTCAGGGCAGTGTTGGCCGTGTGCCCCCAGAGGTGTCTCTGGGGGAGAACGGGGAGGCCGGTGGGACCCGCCTGCGCAGGTGGGTGAGCAGGCCCCTCCGGGGCTCACCAGGAGCACAGGGGCCAAGCTTTGGTTTTGCAGCAGTCGGACCGGCCAGCATTCTCCCGGCGAGAAGTGCGGGGGGCCTGGGGAGGGCTGAGTCCGGGGCCTTGAGACCAGTGAGGACCGTGTAGGGAGGGGCAGACGAGCTTGCGCTGGGCCTGGCCGCAGGAGACGGGGCTCGGAGGTGGGGCTCCCCCACCTGCCACGGCCTGAGAGACCTGCGGCAGGTCCCCCAGCTCCCGGGGCCTCCGTGTCCTTCCGGCTCCAACACTCCGGTGCCGCCGAGGCCCTGGCCCAAGCCACACCACCCCGGGCCAGAGGGCCCTGGCCGGAGTCAGGCGGGGTGGCGGGGAGCGAAAGCAATGGGTCACAGGCCAAAGGCACAGCAGACACACACACACACATGCACTGTCTCACACAGGCACACACGCATGCACACCCCTCCAGAGGGCAGGAGGCAAAACTCCGGCTGCAGCCGGGACGCGCAGGACGGAGCCCGGCCCGCACCAGCCTCAGCACCTAGAGCTCCGTGGGCCGCGTCTCGGTCTGGGAAGGCGAAACCCGCTCTGCAGGCAGATGGTGCCCACTGGTGTGAATGCCCTTCACGCCACTGAACTGTACACGTAACATGGTTAAAAGTCTCAAGTTTAGCTCCCGTATATTTTACAGCAATGAAACAAACCAACTCCCAAACCTCAGTAACAACTCAGAAATCCTTCCCTTCCCTGGCCGGCGTAGCTCAGTGGATTGAGTGTGGGCTGCGAACTAAAGTGCCGCAGGTTCGATTCCCAGCCAGGGCACATGCCTGGGTTGCAGGCCACGGCCCCCAGCAACCACACATTGATGTTTTTCTCTCTCTTTCTATCTCCCTCCCTTCCCTCTCTAAAAATAAAAATTAAAAAAAAAAAAAGAAAGAAATCCTTCCCTTCGAGAGGGCTGCCCCCAAAACCCACCTCCGAATCGGAGCAGCCCCAGGGCCCCCGAGGCCTGCAGCGCCTTATCTAGCCGTGGCCCTCTGCCACGCGGCAGGGGAGGGCTGGCACCGGGTCATGGCAGACACAACGCCATTTGTTCGGGGACAGTGCTGGGTGTGTCCTCCCGGAGCTCCTCTTCTCTGTGCTGGCGTTTCTCCATGTCTGCCCAGCTCTGCATCCTCTCCCCAGCCAGGGTCCCGCCCACCCCCCCCCACCCCGAACCCTGGGCTGCGCAGGGACCGCCTGCTCTCTGCTCCTGCCCTCCCACCCACGCTCCAACTCCCGTCTGTGAACGAAGACTTGGGGCTCCGGGTTGCCCCACTGGGAAGGGAGGAGCTTTGACCAGGGGCTCCCCGAACCCCCTGCCTGCCCCGTACTAACTAACACACTTGGAATTCTGTTGCCTCCGTAGCCAGGTGGCGCCCTCTCAGGGGGCTCTCTCGCCTCCCCTTCCCAGACCGTGAGAGCGGGGTGTGCCGGCCACTTGTGCAGCTGTGACAGCCGGCTGCACACATGTTGTCCCCGCTCCGACGGGTAGACGGCAACCGTCCGGGTCGGCGTGGTTACACCGTGGAAACTCCCCAGAGAGCTGGATGTCACGTATTTGCCAGCATTCCACTGGGTATAGTTTTGTTTGTTTGTTTTTTAAAGGGTTTTACTTATTTATTTCCAGAGAGAGGGGGAGGGAATGGGAAAGAGAAGGGGTGAAACATCAGTGTGTGGTTGCCTCTCGCACGCCCCCAACTGGGGACCTGGCCCACAACCCAGGCATGTGTCCTGACTGGGAATCGAACTGGCGACCCTTTGGTTTGCAGGCTGACACTCAATCCACTGAGCCACACCAGGCAGGGCAAGGTATAGGTATGCAAATAAACTATTCTGAGACTGATGAAGGCCAGTGCATCTCGAGACCTGCCGGAGAACACTGCCTACCCTGAATCTCAAAAGACTGTCAGACTCCCCTCTCCAGACTTTGCCTTCTGAAGGGACAGGGCTGTCTGGGGTCAGGGGACAGGGGACAGGGGACAGGGCTGCCATGCTGCCCCACAGGCTGTGCACGGCACAGTCCCACAGACGCGATGCCTTACAGACCTTGATGTGTATTCGGCCCGAGGCTGGGGAACAGGGAGGCCTCGGGCGCTTAGGTTAGAAGCAAGTCAAACCCCTGACGTCCCGGGGACAGACTCCTGTCACTCCAACGGGCAGTGCTCCGCTCTGCGCCGGTGGTCCCTGGGAAGCCCAGCTGCCCTGCTGACTGTGGGGTCCCGCCCCTCTGGCTGTCATTTTGGGGAGGAAGGGGGGACTGTGAGCTCCCCACGAACACCTAGGAACCTGAGGTGGGTGAAGCTTTCACGAAATTTCCGAGCACGTTCCTTCCTCTCCAACAAAAGGGTGGGAGGAAACAGAACCACCTGCCCCAAGGTGGAGCCCGAGGGGCGGTCTCTTGCTCTAGGGAGCTCCGCAGCCTAAAACGTCAAAAGGGAGGCCACCTCCCCACCACCCTGGGGAGGGTCGTCCTGGTGGCCACCAGATGGTGAAATGTGAAGTGTGCTCCTCGCTGGCCAACCCCCTCGGCAGGGGAGGACAAACGAAACAAAACAAAGCAAAGCAGACATATCTGGTCTGGGGTGGGGGGTGGCCAATGAGTGCAGATAGAACAAGTGGATGCCAGGGCCCGACTCTCCCCACCCAGACACCCCAGATCACGTTCAGAAACTCGTTGCAAAAGCCAAGCCTTCCCAACTTTCCAAAGGCCAACCTCCCCCGCCCCCCGCCACCCCCAGGCCCTGGGTGGAGCCGGGCAGGTGGGCCTGGGGGCATTCAGAGGCCGTCAGAAGTGGGGGCCGCCTCAGCTCGTCTCCTGGGTGGCCTGAGCCTGCGTTCCCCCCTCCTCCTCCTCCTCCTCCTCAGCGCAGGGAGAGGGACAGGCAGGAGCTGCGGGAAGGGAAGGAAGAGGGGCTTTGACGAGGCAGCCCCAGGAGCTGGTCACTTCTCTCCACACCCCTGGCCCGGGGGGACCCTGCCCCTGGGCCGGGCACCCTGCAGGCACCCAAGCTCATGGTGACGATGTTCTTCTGGGGGCTATCCCCCCTTCCTGGAGGGATGCATTTCCTATAGCTGACCTCAGAGGACCGCCCAGGGAAAAAGTGCTTCCCCCTGGGGTGGGGTGGGGTGGGGTGGGCATGCTCAGCCTTCTGCCCTTTCAGGGACAGAGCGGCCTGGGGGCAGGAAGCAGCCCCTGGGGCCAGAAGGCACTAAACCTGAGTCACTTCATAAGAGCTGCCTGACCTCGGGCAGCTCTGCCCTGAATCCAGGCCCCCTTCTGATGCACAATGCATCATTTAATTAAGCACCAGGAAAATGCTGCCAGTCACTCCCAGCAGGTAGCTGCCCACTGTCTCCCTGAGTCTGCAGAGGGGGGTAAGCAGAGCCCCGACCTCCCAGGCTGCCGGGGGCGCGGAGTTCATGGCCATGACCCTGACGCAGGACCCGGGGGGAGCGCCCTGGGAGGCTACCTGCCATCCTCACGTCACCCCCACTGCAGCCAGGGCCGCAGGAATTTTTCGTAACTTTGGCACGATTGCCGTGGAGGGTGGGTGGGGAGGCACCCCACGGAAAACCCTCAGCGGGCAGCACGTTTTCGAGGAGACAGCAAGCGTTGGAGGGCAGCGGGATCTGGGCTGGACGCCCGGCTGGGCTTCTTCAGGCCAGTGACCTGGCCCCTCTGGGGCCGGCTCCCCCTCCTGTAACTCGGGTCTTCACACTGCCTGCCTATCTTCTGCAGGCAGGGGTCTTCTGAGGGATTAAGTAAGGTGACAAGGGTGTAGCCCCTGGCTGCACAAAACGGACATTTCACACACCCGCCCTGGTGAGTGGGGACTGAGTGCTTTTCCCAAGGGATGTTTAGAAGTCAGCCATGTTGTCGACGGAGCACAGGAAACATCACCCCATACGAGACCCCGAAAAGCCATGGCCAGTGCCGGCACTCAGCCACCGTGCCCACATGCTCACAGCCCTCCCCAGGGGGACGGAGAATCAGGAAGGCCCCCGGCTCTGGTCCTGGCTCCCAGCCTCTCTGCTAACACCGGGTGGGACCTACACACATGAGCTGGCTGAGGCAGAGGGAAGGACACGGAGGCACCAGGGGCCCCGTGAGGTCCAGGAGCGCGGAGGTGACTCAGAGGCCCCCTGGGGAGGCGGGCAGCCACCCCCAAGGACGGCCCGGCTGACGGCACAGCCCCTCCGTCTCGTCCTGAGCAAGGGAACCCATGTGCTCCTGCCAGCTCTCTGCCCTCTCCAGCCAGCCCAGGCGGGTTTCGTGATGCACTTTCCTTTCCTCCAGGTTCCCCTCCCCCCACCGCTCCAGGTCCCGGTGGCTTTTCTTTCCTCGCCAACAGTGCCCAGGCCCCTCCCTCAAACCCACGCCCAGCCTGTCCAGGGGGCCTGGGACTCCTGGCATCCACCCTCCTAGAGGACAGGGCCCTTGTCAACGACAAACAGCCCCCTGGGCAGACCGCCCCGCCCCCGCCCCCCACGGATGCTCGGTGCTGACAGGCAAACTACAAAGGTGAGCTTTCTTTGCACCCCAGGCTTCTGCCCACAAAGCCACACAGACAGGTGAGAACCAGGCTGCACTCACCTTGACCTTGCGGGCATGGAGGCGCGGGCTCAACAAAACAAACATTCACAAGCTCCCCGCAGTTCACACACACACACAACGCCTGGATCCAGCAGTCCTTCCAAACCAGCACACGCTGGCAGGCAGGCGTTCTGACCGCGGCGGCAGCGGCGGCTCCTCCGGGGGAGGGGACACTCACCGGATTTCAGCCTGAGCTCCCCCAAGCAGCCGTAAGCGTCCGTGAGCTTCCCGTACTGGCCTCGGATGACCTCCTTCTCCTCCGGGGCTGGGGGACAAACACATCGCAGACGCTGTCAGCCTGAGTCCCCCCGCAGGGTTCCCGCACCGCAGCCTTCCAACGGCTCCTCACCCACCCACTCGGGGAAGAAAACGCAGAGACAATGGCTCGGCCCCCAGGAATGCGCGTGTGTGTGAGGGTTTCATAATCAGCGAATCCCCAGGCAGCCGAGACTTCGCTCTCCCCACGGAGAGCTCGCTCTCTGGAAGCGCCCACCACTTCCTGGGGGCCGGAGGGGGTGGGGGCCCCCCCGGCGGGCGGGAGGCACGGGGTTCCAGCTGGAAGCAGGTACCTGGGGCCCAGGCGTGTCGCCCTGTGCCACGGTCCACATGCCCAGAAACAGGAATGAGACACCGTTACCCGCTGAGTCTGTTCCTACGGATGTTCCCCGGAGGCTTAGTTCTGCAGTGCCTGCACCCCCAAGGACCTGCTAACCTGAGCAGAAGGTGGGACCCAGATGCCCCGGACCCTGTTCAATGAACCCCAAGGCGCACTGCACGAGCAGAGCGCCCCCACTTCAGCAGTCGTCCTCGAAGCCCCTGGCAGGTCACAGGCTGGCGTGAAAGCAAAGCCGGCAGAAGACCCGCAGGGGCAGGGAGCCCCAGCCCCTCTGCTGGCTGTTCTGGGGGCGGGCTGTAGACCCCTTCTCGGGGCACGTCCCCCAGTGCACAGGACACACTGCAGCTTGGGCGGATCCTCACAGGGCCCGGCAGGTGCCAGGAGGACACTTCCCAGGAAGCAGGCACCTCGTCTCCATCGGATTCACTGACTACAGAGGCTCTTTTGGGGTGACAGGGAAGGCCAGGACGCCCAGCAGCCGCAGAGGGGGCTTTGGGGAGAACCTGCGTCATCTCTAAAGTGGGGGGCTCATGTTTCCGGACATGCAACTTCGTGGGGCTAGGTCCATAGTTTTCATCAGAATCTCAGGTTGGTGATGCCAGAAAGGCTAAGAACCAGCTTAATAAATTACATTTCTACCCCAATACTCACTGAATTTTTCTGATTGTTTTTTTCTTTGGGGGGGTGGGGGCAGAGAAACCTACAGATAATTATGAAAAGGACTGGGAGGCCACAGTCCCGCCCACCCCGCCCCCTCCGTCCTCGGAGCGGTAGGGGGGCGGGCGGTAGAACGGCTTCAGTCTCCGACCGCTGCTGTAGCCAATGACCCGGAGTCTGTGGCTCAACACATCACACACCCACGGCCCTACGGAGATGGGTCTCACAGGGCTAAAGTCAAGGTGTCCCCAGGACTGTTCCTTCTGGAAGCTCCAGGAGAGAATCCATTCCCCCGGTCTGTCTGGCTTCTGCGGGCCACGCCGGCTGCTGGCCCCCCACCCTCTCCAAAGCCGGCCACCGAGCTGCTCTGGCCGCTCCCCCTTCCCATCTGCCTCTCTCCCTCCTGCCCCCCTGTCAAGGGACTGGCGCTGCCAGGTGCCTAGGGAGTCCCCCTGGAAACAGATCCCTCCCTGCTGGAGGACAGGTAAGCCCTGTGAGACCCCCACCTCACAGGTGGAGGCGGGTGCCCCTCCGGCAGGCCATGTGCGAGGCCCCGCATAGCGTTTCCACATCCACAGGGGCTGCGGGCAGAGCCAGGGAGCCGTGGCCGGGCAGCTCCCCAGCCTCGGGGCAGCAGACAAGGGGGTACATGCGAGAGAATGATTCTGACACACACGAAATACGTATTTTGACTCCAGGGGCTTCACAACGCCCCCCGAAAGAACCCCGAAGCCCAGTATGACCGGGTGGGTCACCAGGAAACAAGCCCCTGCCTCCACCGCCACACGGCCACCTCCGCCCCGTGCGTCTGTGTCCCCCTCCTCTTCTTGTAAGGACACCTGTCCCGTCGGACTTGAAGTCACCCCACTCCAGCACGACCTCCCCTCCACTGACTGCATCTCCCTATTTCTAAATCAGGTCACATTCTTCGGGATGGGGAGCTGGGACTTCAACATGTGATGTTGGGGACACATTCGAACCCATAACACTTAGTCACCTGTTCACCGGTGACCCAGTCCTCTCAAAGCCCAGACTCCCCTGCACACCGTCTCTGCAGGAAGCTGCTTTCCTTTTCTCGATGTCTTCCTCTCTGAGGCTGCTGCTTCTTTTTTTGTTTTTAAAGATTTTATTTATTTATTTTTAGACAGAGGGGAGGGGAGGGAGAAAGAAAAACACTAATGTGTGGCTGCCTCTCACACGCCCCCTACTGGGGACCTGGCTGCAACTCAGGCATGTGCCCTAGACTGGGAATCGAACCAGTGACCCTTTGGTTTGCAGGCAAGCACTCAATCCACTGAGCCACACCAGCCAGGGCTCTGAGGCTCCTTCTAACCCACCCCTATGATACAGGTCCCCACACTCCCCTGGGCCCGGCCTCCCAGACGGCCTGTCCCAAAACCACCCACCACCCCTGTTGGTCCCAAACAACTCAATTTCCTCATTAGGTCTGAAGGAAGGAGAAATCCCTTTTGTTCAAAAACAAGCTTCCAGCCTGGCTGGTGTGGGTTGTAGGCCAGGTCCCCAGCAGGGGGCGCTCAAGAGGCAACCACACACTGATGTTTCCCTCCCTCTTTCTCTCTCCCTTCCTCTCTCTAAAAATAAATAAATAAAGTCGTAAAACGAACAAACACACAGCTTCCAAATCAAGTATCTGCAAGCACCAGGCAGGTAAGGAGGGAATGACAGTGCTGGGCGGGGGGTGACAAAGGACACACCCGCTGGGGGTGCTGCAGCCGGTCAGTCCCAGCCAGCTGCCCCAGGTGGGCACGCCAGCCCAGTGCCGGCAGGCCTCCAGCTTTTCCAGAGAAATAGGCCATCCTGGTTTTCAGCGTGACGAGCAGCCCCAGCTTATTTCGGGCACCGTGTGGGCGGCACACGCACCTCTGCAGACTGCGCTTGGCCGGCCCGTGTGCTGCGTCTGTCCGTCCTGTGCACCGGCTCGGGAAGGAACACTCCTCCTTCCACACCTTCGTTGCATTTCCTGCGGGTTTTTCCCCGCAAGAACAGTTTTGCTTCCCCAGCCATTGGCCATGATCGTCCAGGTTGCTAAGGAAGGGCCTCTTGTCCACCCTCCCATCCTCCTCCTCACCCACGTCTTGGCCGTGGGATGCCGCCATTCATTCTCGAGCATGCACACGGGCACTGACGGGGGCTGGGCACGGGCATCCAGCAGTGAACTGCGTGGGCGGCAGCCCGAGCACAGCAGAGTCTGTGAGGCAGGCGCGGGGCTGCGGCAAAGCGGGGACCTGTGCCGTGGATGGGTGACAGTGGAGGCCAACTCAGTGGGTGGGGCCCCGGACAGGGGCACAGCTGAGGCCCCTCACGAAGGCAGCGGAGTGGGAGGCCTACTGGGCGCCAGATACCGTGAGAGCCCCCTGCCAGGGCAAGCAGACAAGGTCGGTGAGCACAATACAGGCAGTGACCTGAGCTAAGGGGGGAAGTGAGCAAAGCAGGGGGTATGAGGTGGGGTGTGGGGTGTGCCTGTGTGTGTGTGTGTGTGTGTGTGTGAAATCCTATGGTTCCAGAAGGCCTCCGCATGACGGCAAACTGAATGCAGACCAGGGGGAGGTGAGAGGGAAGGCTGGGTGGAGACCGGGAGCCCTGTAGGCCCAGCAGAACTCGTGCCAAGGTCCTGGGGCGGCAGCTCTCCAGGACCAGAGAAGGGGAGTGTGTCCAACAAAGGACTCACAGTGAGGACACATCACAAACAGCTTTCTAGGGCATAAAAGGGCTTGGGACTTCCCTGGGCGTGAGGGGGCCCTTGCAGGGTTTTGGGGTACCTTTGGCTGCTGTACTAAAAACAGACCCCAGAGGGGTACGAGGAAACAGCAGGGAGACCACGGCGACTGAGGTGAGAGGGGATGCCCCCTGGACCACGGCGGTGGCCGCGCAGGTGCCGAGAAACCACCGGAGTCTGGGAACACACACACACACACACACACGCTTTCGTCATGGAAATCTCCGAAGGAAAGCGGAGTGCGTGTGATAGGCCCCATGCACCCACACACCATGCACCCACCAGCTCCAGCATCAGCTCGGGCCCTGCCCCGTCTCCCACCCCTGAGCACCCCTGGGCCTCAGCACACGGCCCTTGGACAGTAAGCCTCGCCCAGCGCCCAGCGTTAGCAACACCAGTGAGCAGGCCCCTCCCCAGCCGAGCTGACTCAGAGACTCTGGGCTTGAGACTGGGAATCTGTGTTTTATCGAGTCCTCTTGGAGAGAATCGCTGCCTTAGATTATTCTAAGCCAACCCCAGACTTCGTATCATTTCACCTACAAATATTTCAGTGAGAATCTCCAAAAGGTAAGTGTTCTTTTTATTGATTGATTTTCTTTTTGTTTTACTGACACAGAGAAACACTCAAAGTTGTTCCACTTATTTGTGCATTCATTGGTTGCTTCTCGTATGGGCCCTGACCAGGGATCGAACCCATGACCTTGGCATATCGAGGTGACGTTCTAACCCACTGAGCTATCCGGCCAGGGCAGGGTTCTTTGTAAACACATAACCTCAATATCATTACCACATCTAAAAGAACTGAAACTTAAGCATAATTCCTTAACACCATTAAATATCTGCACGTTCTGAAAGCACAACCCAAGGATCCGTGGAAGACAGGATGTGGGATAGGAGGGAAGACAGGGTTCAAGGACGATGCCAAGTCTGTCTCCCGACCCCCCGGAAGGATGAGTGGCTGTCGCCCGAGATGGGGAGGGCGGACAGGACAGGTGTGGGTGCAGCGGCAGGAGCTGAGGCCGGACACGCCGGCGATGCAGCTGCGGGCCCCCGGGGAGAAGCCAGGGACAGCACCGGCCCGGAGCCCCGCAGAGATGGCCGGCTGAGACACAGCCTGGATGTCCCCAGCCTCCTGAGACTGGGACAGGTCACCCGGGGACAGAGGGCAGGGGACAGTGTGGTCACAGGCCAGGGAGGCTGAAGAGACACGGCCATAAAGATGTCAGAAATCCAGGAGTGCGTGGCGTCCTGCAGG